AATTTCCAAAGTGTCAAACTTTGAGGTGGAATATCTCGAAAAGTCCTTAAGCAAAGGTCAAAGTTAAGGTCATTGGAAGATGAGTTGTGACCCGCGCTACAAAAAAGGTCCAGTGTGACATTGCGTAGGTCGAAGGGTTGACCTTCAAAAATTCAAATATCCATATATACTTATAGGTCAAGGTCAGTCGACTTTATGCATCAGAGAAGAGCGCAAGTCCGTCCGAAGATCAGGCACTTTTTACAGATCTCGGTGAAAAATTCTGGAAAAAGTCGGTTGAACAGGTTTGGTGAGAAAATTCAAAAAGTGATGAGGTCGAAAGTAGGTCGTGGCCTTGGGACTTTTTTTTTTTTTTTCAGGGCTTCACCCAGGGATCGAGGGGCTTCAGCCGGTCCGGGTAGGGGTCTCAGTGGGGGTCGGTACTTGTAGAGCGGGGATGTGGGAGTCGGGGGATATGTTGACCTCGGAGACAGGTCAATTAGAAAGGGGTCAAATCGGGGGTCAAAGTCAGGTCAGTTGCAGACGTGATTTTGGGAGATGAGTGATTCCAAGGCGGGGTCTGATGGGTGGGTCGGGTGGGTCCTGGGACGAGGGAAAGAAAAGGTCATGAGGACCCCCGAGCTTGGAGTCACGGTAGACGTGGTGTTGGCGGGAAACTGTATTTTTGGCGGGAGGCGACCCCTGGGTCCCAGTGTGGGTCGGTGTCGGAGATTATGGTGTGAGACGATAGTCCCGGTCCCGAGCTATCCAGAAATATAACTTTTGTAGAGACAAGTCGAATAGTGGCCGAGATATGGCGCCCGGAAGTTTGGAAAAAGTGTACGCAGCCAGAAAAAGTATACGCAGCCGAGATAAAGTGTACGCAGCACATGGTTCCAATTTTGTCTTTTGATGACCTCGACCTTGAACATGACTGACACAAATAACCCCTTTTTACACCTAAAAAACCACGTTTTGACCCCTAAACCGACCGGAAAAAGACCGGCGGTGACGTCGCAGACGGGGCCTTGCCATGCCCGACCCAGATAAAAAAAAAAAAAGCCTGATTAACCCTAACCCTAACCCACGAGAGAACTAACCCTAGGTCCCACGAGAGAACTAACCCTAACCCTAGGTCCCACGAGAGAATTGAACCTAACCCCAACCCTAGGTCCCACGAGAGAACTAAACCTAACCCTAGGTCCCACGAGAGAACTAAACCTAACCCCAACCCTAGCTCCCACGAGAGAAGTAACCCTAGGGGCGTGGCAAAGTCGACCTTCAGCAAAACCCTAAGGGCGTGGCAAAATCGACTTTTTGAGAAACTCGACTTTTCGACAAATTCGACTTGCCAACTTGACTTTTGGGGACCAACCCTAAGACAAAAACCCTAAGGGCGTGGCAAGGTCAAATTGCAAGGTCAAGGGCATTGTCAAGGTTATTTTTAAAAAGCCCTTGCGATTTGCTACAAAAAATGTCAAGCGTGACCTTGCATCAGATGTGACCTTGACCTTCAAAACAATTCGAAACGACGAAAAAAAGTGTACAAAGCCTTAAAAAAAAACCAGCAAACACCCTAAGGCAAAACCATAAGAGCATTGTCAAGGTCATTTTTAAAAAGCCCTTGCGATTTGCTACAAAAAATGTCAAGCGTGACCTTGCATCAGATGTGACCTTGACCTTCAAAACAATTCGAAACGACGAAAAAAAGTGTACAAAGCCTTTAAAAAAAACAGCTAACACCCTAAGGCAAAACCATAATGTTAATTTACAAAATTAGTTTTTAAGGTCAAGGTCATCTCGAGTGTCAAGGTCAATGTTATTTTAAACAGAACTTCTGATTTGCAACAAGAAAGGTCAAGCGTAACCTTGGATCATATGTGACCTTGACCTTTAAAAAAAAAAATTGCGAAAAAAAAGTGTACAAAGCCAAGTATATTGCTTAACCCCCGCACCCGCAGGCCACCCTCCCGGCAAAACTAATTGCGTTGCAAAGTCAACGTTTATAGGTCGAGGTCATTATAGAAAGTACTTAGATTTGCAACAAGAAAGGTCAAGCGTGACCTTGGATCAGATGTGACCTTGACCTTCAAAACAATTCGAAACGACGAAAAAAAGTGTGCAAAGCCAAGGAAAGGAAGCACCGTACCTGGAACCCCCCCCCCCCCCTCTCTCGCAGAACTATGAGTCGACTTTTAAAGGTCAAGGTCACAATAGAAAATCCTTACGATTTGCAACAAGAAAGGTCAGCGTGACCTTGGATCAAATGTGACCTTGACCTTCAAAAAATAGGGGATAAACTCACAGGGAGTAAGTACAGCAGGGATCTACCAGTCATCAGTAGAAATTATCCTCGTCGACACGCGTTTCGGCCCACGATTCCTAGACGTATTCGGAGGTGGGCCCACCTGAGTTCATGAAGCTCAGGGCTGCTGCACGAGATTACCAGATGGTGTTTTTTTTTCGGCCAGAGACAAGATGACTTGGTGGTTTCGCAGAAGGTACTGTGAGATAAGAAGTCGCCGCGGCAGCATAATTAAAGCTGTCAGCGTGCCTGGACGACCGAGCGACAAGCTTACGATTGGTTTACCGGACACATGTTGGACTTTTATTAGCAGGTGGCAGAGGATCACTGGCAGACAATTCGGACACGATGGACTTTCAAGGGGTGAGAAACCCTTTTCCACTAGACACCCGGACCAGCTCACCGAGGCCCGTCCCCTACGTTGTTGCGTTGCGTCCAAAGCCAGCTAGAGGCCCTTTCGGCTACCTCTCCCAGTTTTTTTAGTGTTTGTTTCCGTTCATTACCGCGCAATCCTAGTTCTTTAACCTAGTTCTTTTCTTTCGCTCCCACTTCGACGGCAAAGACCCGTACTGTGTACGCCTCGTTTCTCCTCAGACCGGCTGCTAAATCACTGTATTTCTCGAGGTTATACGTGTGATTCTCTTCCATACGCGACTCAAACGGGACGGTCAACTCAATCAGGATGAGCTGCCGTTTTTGCGCAGAGTGGAGAACTATGTCAGGTCGCAGGCCGGTCTTACGGATCAACTCGGGGTACCGTTCATGGCCTGGCAGATCAACCGCCAGTAACCAGTCCCTCGCAGAGTCTAGCACAGATGGAGCGAATGCGTTTCGGTTGACCTTACTTTTTGGAACCTGCCCAGCCTTGAGAAAAAGAATAGGGACGATGCTAGAACTGGCCCTTGCGTTGGCCCTCATTCTAGCCTGGTCAACAACGGCTGCTAACTCTTTTAGCACCTTGTTGTGTCGCCAGGTGTATCGGCCTTGACCTAGGGCTTTCCTGCACGCGGACAGGACGTGCTCAAGAGTTTGCTTCGATTGACACAACGGGCAAGTCGGATCGTTGGTCGCAGACCATTTAACCATGTTAACACCGGACGGTAATACATCGTACGCCGAACGAACGATAAAGCTCAGTCGCAGCGGGGTCATCCGCCAGATCTCACAAAAAAATTATAAACGGCGGAAAAAAGTGTACAACGCCTGGGAGGAGCAAAGGCAAAACCCTAGTGGCGTTGCAAAGTCAACGTTTGAAGGTCAAAGTCATCGCGAATGTCAAGGTCAATACAGAGAGTCCTTACGATTCGCAACAAGAAAGGTCTAGCGTGACCTTGCCTCAGATGTGACCTTGACCTTAAAAAAAATAAACTGAAAAAAGTGTACAAAGGAGAGTAAAAAAAAGTGTACAAAGCTTTAAAAAAGTGTACCAAGGACATTAAAAAGGTGTACGAAGCTTGAAAAAAAAAGTGTACTAAGGACCGGTTAGTGCCACGTGCTCAGAGGATGACAGGATGAACTCGAACATCTCCGTGACCTTGATACCAGTGCAAAGGTCAAGGTCACGATGTATGGAAAACCCATGGCCATAATAGCATGTAGTGTGACCCTGGAGACAATAAAAGTCATGAGCGCCGATCACGTTCGTGACATTTGGCGCCAAAAATTTGAAATACAATGTACCCAAAAAAAAGTGTACCAAGGAGAACAACTTTTGGCAGGAACCATGTTGATGTACGATTTGAATTTCACGGGTACACGTGCTTCGAGATACGAGTTATAAGTTGACAGGTTGACTCCACGAGTGAAACATCTCCGTGACCTTGATACGGGACCATAGTGCTTTTCAGTAAATACCAGTTTCAAGAGGTCAAGGTCACGTTGCAAGGAGAAACCCATGTCATCATGGGATGCACCGGGACACTGGGAACAACTTAAGTCAATAGCGCGCGATCACGTTTGTGGCATTTTGGCGCCAAACATTTGAAATTTGGCGCAAAAGTGCAATAATGACCTTGAAAAGAATATTTATTTTGAAGGGTTAGGGTCAATCAGGCTTTTATTTCTTTTAATCTGGGTCGGGCGTGGCAAGGCCCCGTCGGCGTTAGGGTTAGGGTCAATCAGACTTTTTTTCTTTTAATCTGGGTCGGGCGTGGCAAGGCCCGGTCGGTTAGGGTTATGGTTTGGGTTTGATTTGGGTTAGGGTTAGAAAAGCTGAAGGGGAGGGGAGGGGAGGCTGAGAGAACAGATGCTAGACAGTTCGATATTATGACATGGAAGATCAGTTGATTGAAAGTACACGAGACAGAAGGTTGTGGACAGACATGACTACCAATGCTAAACGGCATGTATTTAAGAAGAAGATTCTATAGTGACTGGTGAGGATTATCATCACAATACTCTGCACACATTTGTAGGTGCTCCAGTCTCAACCTAAAAAGCTTCAGAAGTGTAAAAGGACTGATCATACCAATTCTATGGTGTTCTATGCTTCATATGTCTTGTGCCCTTAATAACATGTTGATGTCTGGCTGCTCCCTCGTGTTCACCAAGCTGAACAAGGATGAGTCCTGCTTGTTTTTGCCTGGAATACCCACATGGCTTGGCATGATCAAAAAGCTGACATTTTCTACTGGACCTGTATTTAAAGCATTTAGACAAACAGATTTATGTTGAAATTAATTACAGAAGACAATCAAGACAGGTACATGCAGGTTTATTAACTCTTTATAAAAGACAGTGTTTGCCCTTCTTTCAGTTGTCTCAAGGCCTGAAGGAAGACTTTCTTTGTTTCTTCCAAAGTTGCACTGTAAACTTTCATGTCTTCAGTTTTTGCCTTTAGTGTTCTCTCCAGGGCTGCCTTTAATGAATCAATTTCATCTTTCTGTATTTCTGATCTGTAACATGAGAACATTCTGTAACAGGAAAACATTCTGTAACAGGAAACATGCTGTAAGAAAACATTCTGTAACAGGAAACATGCTGTGACAGAAAACATGCTGTGACAGGAAACATGCTGTGACAGGAAACATGCTGTGACAGGAAACATGCTGTAAAAGAAAACATGCTGTAACAGCAAACATTCTGTAACAGGAAAGATGCTGTAACAGGAAAGATGCTGTGACAGAAACATTCTGTAACAGGAAAACATGCTGTGTCAGGAAATATGCTGTGACAGGAAAACACTCTGTGACAGGAAAACATTCTGTAACAGGAAACATGCTGTGTGTTGAGACAGGAAAGCATTCTGTATCAGGAAAACATGCTGAAACAGGAAAATATTCTGTAACATAAAAACATTCTATAACAGGAAACATTCTGTAACAGGAAACCATTCTGTAACTAGAAACATTCTGTAACAGGAAACAATTTTGTACTGTAGGTAGTAGCACCATCACAAATACACCCACACACACACACACACATCCAAAACAGATTCATGTACACAAAACCTAACATACAACAGCACTACACACACAACCTAATACACAAACTTACAACCTAACACACAAACATGAATACTAACACAATTCAACACACACCCTAAAAAACAAATTTATAAACATACTCCAACATAGAAACACACACAATAACATACATCCTAACACACAAACTTATAAACACACTCCAATATACAAACAAACAACCTAACACACAAACACATACCCTAACACACAAACTTATCAAACACACTTCAACACACACACCCTAACACACAAACTTATAAAAACACACACAAACACACACCTTAACATACACATTTATAAACACACCCCTGAAACAAATACATATGCACACACAAACTGATACACAGATCCAATACAAACTCACAGATCATAAACATATATGTAGGTGTGAGTGTGTGTGATAATTATGCTATTTATATTTACTACATTTTAATAAAAATGCAAGCATTTGTAAAAACACATAATAATCATCTTCTTCTTCGCACTCATTGGATGTAAATTCAGGCAGAATTCTGGCTGTTCATCCACTTCTGGACTTTGGTCTTGTTCCAGAAGTTGAGTTCTGTGTGCATTTCCATTTTACAGATTTGGCTTATTTTTATGGAGACTGTTGGTTCCTCAATTTTTTTGCAGATCTACTCCGACTTTGAAGGAAACATCCTTTATTAATCTACTTTTATGACATGCCTGATAATATGACCAAGTATTATTTCCACAAAAATATTTGCCTCTAATAAGTATGCATCACCATTCCCATCTCTGTGCATGACTGAAATATCTTAAGCCATATGTTCCAATAGCACAGGATCTCTGTGCGCATATGCTACACGTCCAAGAGAGAGTCACCGTGGCGTGGCGGCCAGACGCTCGCATGCGGATTGAAAGATCATGGGTTTGTTTCCTGGCAGAGCCGGACTTTTTTCAAAAATAACCTTGACTCCCAGGTTGACCCAGCCTTGAGTGGGTACCGGTTGCAGTCCCGTGTAGGAAAGGCGGGACCACATCACCCATCTTGTGCTGATTATAAAAATCTAGGTCTAGCCCTACATGCCTGAAGGTGTGGAAAAGGGACCTTTACTATTACTTACATGTCCCAGTAGCACAGGATCTCTGTGTGTATGACAGAAATATCTGAAGCTACATGTCCCAGTAGCACAGGATCTCTGTGTGTATGACAGAAATATCTGAAGCTACATGTCCCAGTAGCACAGGATCTCTGTGTGTATGACAGAAATATCTGAAGCTACATGTCCCAGTAGCACAGGATCTCTGTGGGTATGACAGAAATATCTGAAGCTACATGTCCCACTAGCACAGGATCTCTGTGTGTATGACAGGAAGCTACATGTCCCAGTAGCACAGGATCTCTGTGTGTATGACAGAAATATCTGAAGCTACATGTCCCAGTAGCACAGGATCTCTGTGGGTATGAGAGAAATATCTGAAGCTACATGTCCCAGTAGCACAGGATCTCTGTGTGTATGACAGAAATATCTGAAGCTACATGTCCCAGTAGCACAGGATCTCTGTGTGTATGAGAGAAATATCTGAAGCTACATGTCCCAGTAGCACAGGATCTCTGTGTGTATGAGAGAAATATCTGAAGCTACATGTCCCAGTAACACAGGATCTGAAGTATACAGAAATATCTGAAGCTACATGTCCCAGTAGCACAGGATCTCTGTGTGTATGACAGAAATATCTGAAGCTACATGTCCCAGTAGCACAGGATCTCTGTGTGGTATGACAGAAATATCTGAAGCTACATGTCCCAGTAGCACAGGATCTCTGTGTGTATGACAGAAATATCTGAAGCTACATGTACAAGATAACATGAGTGCACACAACAAACCTTGCCAGTAATTCACTGTTATCTTTGCTACCCAATTCTTGGAATGAGTTAAGATTCTTTGAAACACCATTTCCTCTCTGTGCTGGAATGTTGTCAAAATAAAAAGCCATTAATAATATCATCTAAAGAGGAAATTAGAAAAGCTATCAACCTCTTGAATGATGGGAAAACTGCAAGTACAGATTATACCCCAGCAGAAGCCATTATAGTCAAAATAAATATATCTACAGAATTGCTGCACACTTTTTAGCAAAGTTCAGAAGACTAAAGAAAGACTAGCAGATTAGAGAAAAGGAACAAATGAACATCCAAGCAAACTTTATTCTCAAGGGGTCATACATGGGGCATACAGGCCTCTCTAACATGGACTCTTCCAATCACTCAACTTTTACATAGAAATTGTATTTTTCTGTAAAGCATATGTTCATAAAACAATAAACCTAAATGAAAATCAAGTAAAATACACAAAACTACGAGTGGTATATACACATGCAAATACATACCCAAATATGTATTTTCATTCATACAAACATACATAGATACATACATTCATACCTACATACATGATGCATGTGTACACACTCATATAAACCCATGCAGAAACTATTATACACACAACACCTCACCCCATGAACGCATCTCCCTTCTTCAACATTATGACTGCCACATAATGAAGACGTACCAATAAGATTTGCTTTAGCCAATCTCTTTTCCAACTCCACAGTCTGTCGTTTTTCAGCCTGAAGATTTGCCTCAGCCTCAGCAAGTCTCCGAGTTTCTTCTGATAGCCTGCAAGTGTGTTTCAACATGTGACCTGCAGTCTCTGACTGGTGCTTTCTTTTTAGAAAGGCACAGGACAGTCAAATATTTCAGAGGGTGGTAAGAGTGTGCTTTCTGTGCTTTAGCGCATTTCTTACAAGGCCAGGGTTTTCGCGCACTTACCTAACTCTAACCTGACCCTAACTCTATCTACTCGCTTAATATACCATGGCCGGAAATATTTGCCTGTCCTGTGAAATATGGATTTTCCCTGTTTGTGATCGGTTAATAAGAAAAGTACCATTGATCTATACATGATGTAATAACACACTGATCTACACATGATGTAAAATACAAATCTCTACATAACGTAAAATAGAAATCTCTACATGACATAACAACACACTGATCTATACATGATGTAACCACACTGATCTATACATCATGTAACACACTGATCTATACATGATGTAACAAAACACTTATCTGTACATGATGTAGCAACACACTGATCTATACATGATGTAACACATGTATCTATACAGGATGTAACAAAACACTGATCTATACATGATGTAACAAAACACTCATCTATACATGATGTAACACACGTATCTATACATGACGTAACAAAACACTGATCTATACATGACGTAACAAAACACTGATCTATACATGATGTAACCAAACACTGATCTATACATGATGTAACCACACTGATCTATACATGATGTAACCACACTGATCTATACATCATGTAACACACTGATCTATACATCATGTAACACACTGATCTATACATCATGTAACACACTGATCTATACATCATGTAACACACTGATCTATACATGATACACGCTGTATCATACAGGTGTAACACACTGATCTATACATCATGTAACACGCTGATCTATACATCATGTAACACACTGATCTATACATGATGTAACACACTGATCTATACATGATGTAACACACTGATCTATACATGATGTAACACACTGATCTATACATCATGTAACACACTGATCTATACATCATGTAACACACTGATCTATACATGATGTAACCACACTGATCTATACATGATGTAACCACACTGATCTATACATGATGTAACCACACTGATCTATACATGATGTAACCACACTGATCTATACATGATGTAACCACACTGATCTTTACATGATGTAACCACACTGATCTATACATGATGTAACCACACTGATCTATACATCATGTAACACACTGATCTATACATCATGTAACACACTGATCTATACATCATGTAACACACTGATCTATACATCATGTAACACAATGATCTATACATGATGTAACACACATATCTATACAGGATGTAACAAAACACTCATCTATACATGATGTAACACACTGATCTATACATGATGTAACACACTCATCTATACATGATGTAACACACTGATCTATACATGATGTAACACACTCATCTATACATGATGTAACACACTCATCTATACATGTTGTAACACGCTCATTTATACATGATGTAACACACTGATCTATACATGATGTAACACACTCATCTATACATGATGTAACACACTGATCTATACATGATGTAACACACTGATCTATACATGATGTAACACACTGATCTATACATGATGTAACACACTGATCTATACATGATGTAACACACTGATCTATACATGATGTAACACACTGATCTATACATGATGTAACAAAATCATCTATACATGATGTAACACACTGATCTATACATGATGTAACACACTGATCTATACATGATGTAACACACTGATCTATACATGATGTAACACACTCATCTATACATGATGTAACACACTCATCTATACATGATGTAACACACTGATCTATACATGATGTAACACACTCATCTATACATGATGTAACACACTCATCTATACATGATGTAACACACTCATCTATACATGATGTAACACACTGATCTATACATGATGTAACACACTCATCTATACATGATGTAACACGCTCATCTATACATGATGTAACACGCTCATCTATACATGATGTAACACGCTCATCTATACATGATGTAATACGCTCATCTATACATGATGTAACACACTCATCTATACATGATGTAACACACTTATCTATACATGATGTAACACACTTATCTATACATGATCTAACACACTCATCTATACATGATGTAACACACTCATCTATACATGACGTAACACACTCATCTTTACATGATGTAACACACTCATCTATACATGATGCAACACACTGATCTATACATGATGTAACACACTCATCTTTACATGATGTAACACACTGATTTATACATGATGTAACACACTCATCTATACATGATGTAACACACTGATTTATACATGATCTAACACAGTCATCTATACATGATGTAACACAGTCATCTATACATGATGTAACACACTCATCTTTACATGATGTAACACACTCATCTATACATGATCTAACACACTGATCTATACATGATGTAACACACTCATCTATACATGATGTAACAAACTGATTTATACATGATGCACACTTATGATGTAACATACTCATCTATACTTGATGTACTACACTCATCTATACATGATTTAACATACTCATTTATACATGATGTAACAGACTCATCTATACATGATGTACTACACTCATCTATACATGATGTAACACGCTCATCTATACATGATGCAATATAATTATCTATACATGATGTAACACACTGATATAAATATGATTTAACACACTGATCTATTCATGATGTAACATACTAGTATAAATATGATTTAACATACTGATCTATACAAGATGCAACACAATGATCTATATATGATGTAACATACTAATTTTGTAATAGATGTAACAGCAAACTGACCTCTCCTGCAAAACCTGTACTAACTCTGTCATCTTATCCTTCTCCACTTCTATGGCTAGATTCATCACCTGTATCTCTGCATTGTGAAATCTCAGAGAGGTCATTTCTTGCACATGTGTTTCATCAGTTACTGGCTTTCTGTAAAAAAAAATACCCATTAAAGTAGACTTCATCTAAAGGTTTTATACAATTTTAAAGAATGTAAAATTTAGCAGTGTGAAATCTGTGTAAATCTGTTACTATTACTTCTAAACAACTATGCAACTCTCCTGCTCTTGTAATTTCACACAGCACCACATATACACAGTACACACGCACACAAAGCTCAAATGTTCAGATCGCACACAATTATACATAGCACACATGTATGCACACAGGACACACATCTAGGCATCAAATGGATCGACAAAGTTCTCGAAGATCTTGACTTTGCTGACGACCTAGCACTCCTGAGCACAACACATCTAGAAGCTCAGGAAAAAATGGACCGCCTCCAGAATATTTCAAGCCAAATCGGCCTTCAGGTCAACGCAGCCAAAACGAAAATCATCGATCTTACCAACGAGTCGAAAGACATCAAACTAAAGGATATTGTTCTTGAAAAAATCACCAGCTTCACATACTTAGGGAGCAAGATAACCTCTGCGGGAGATACAACATCAGAAAATAACGACTCAAATAACGTTACATCAAGTGCCTTTAACAAACTGTCAAACATTTGGAAGTCAAGATCACTCAGCAACAACACGAAACTTAAGGTCTTCAATTCCTGTGTGATCCCAGTGCTACTTATGGTTGTGAGAGTTGCATAGTATCAATCGATATACATAGTAGCGAGAATAGATGCCTCCGAAAGCTATGTACTGGTCATTTATCACAATACATATAAGACAGGAAACAAAACAAAAATACTGATTTTATTAGAACGTCGCTGGACATCGGTCACGTACTCAGAATATCCCCACATTCGTATGGTCACCAGAGGGTAAAAGAAAACAGGGAAGACCAAAAGAAACTCTCCGTAGAACCATCACAAGGGAGAGCTCAACCATAGGTCTCAGTCGCACTCAAGACCTACATCAAGTGGCAAAGAACCGACAGACGTGGAAAGCTATGACCTCTGCCCTATGCGCCATCTTTGGCACAAGAGGAATAACTAACTAACTAACTAACACATGTATGCATATCATACATATACATATAGCACACATGTATGCATATCACACATATACATATAGAACACATGTATGCATATCACACATATACATATAGCACACATGTAGGCATATCAGACATATACATATAGAACACATGTAGGCATATCATATACATATAGCACACATGTATGCATATCACACATATACATATAGCACACATGTATGCATATCAGACATATACATATAGCACACATGTAGGCATATCAGACATATACATATAGCACACATGTATGCATATCAGACATTTACATATAGCACATATGTATGCATATCACACATATACATATAGCACACATGTATGCATATCACACATATACATATAGCACACATGTATGCATATCACAAATATACACATAGCACACATGTATGCATATCACACATAGACACATACCACACATGTATGCATATCACACATAGACATATAGCACACATGTATGCATATCACACATAGACATATAGCACACATGTATGCACATCAGACATTTCCATATAGCACACATGTATGCATATCACACATAGACATATAGCACACATGTATGCATATCACACATAGACATATAGCACACATGTATGCATATCACACATATACATATAGCACACATGTATGCATATCACACATATACATATAGCACACATGTATGCATATCACACATAGACATATTGCACACATGTATGCATATCACACATATACTTATAGCACACATGTATGCATATCACACATATACATATACCATACATGTATGCATATCACACATATACATATAGCACATAGGTACACAACAGAATTTACATAAAGCACATGAATACTCATAGCAGAAATGTACACCCAGCAGAAATGTACACAAAGATCATGAATATACATAGCAAAAATGTACACACAACAGAAATGTACACATAGCACACAAATACACATAGCACAAATGTACTCCATTTTCTTCTTTATGTCCTCTTTTACTGCTTTGGGTGTCAAAAGAGGTATAAGATCCTACTTCATGCACTTCTGACTGCTTCGACCACAGACACATTGTGGTGCTGTAGTGTTTCTTTGATGTTATCTTCCCATCTTGTTCTTCCTCTTGATCTATGTCCTTCTCCTCTTTTCATATTAGCCTTGTATGGTATAGCATCAGAAGGTATTCTCTTCAAGTGAGCAAACAATTTGATTTTGCTGTCTTCGTATGTAATTTAGAATTGGTTCTGTGCTGATATTATCTTGTATGACATCATTCCTGATTTTATTTCTTCTGGTCACTCCTAAAGCCTTTCTCAGACACTTCATTTCCATGGTTACTAATTTCCTTCTATGTTTTGTTGTGAGTGATCACGTCCGGCACTGATAGCAGAGGGTGGAAATGAATATGCTTTGTATGTTTCTTTGTGCTGACTGGGATTGCTTTATGCTGTAAGAGGGGGCTAGCTGTCCTTAGCTGTCCCAAGGGGGCTAGCTATCCTTAGCTGTGCCAACACTTTGCCTGCTTTACTGCATCGAATGTCAATTTCTTCATCTAATTTACCATCTTCAGTGAATGTTGTTCTAATATATTTTAACACAGATGCCTGTTTAATATATGTAAGCTCTAACACTATATTTCAATTCTGCTTCTTTCTTCCTACTGACTTTACTACTGTCTTTTTAATATTGAGTCTCATATTATTTTATTTACATACTTCATTCATGGATGTGAGATGTCGCTGTAAATTCATTGCTGTATCTGCAATCAAGGCCTGGTCATCAGCAAAGAGTAACTCGTTGATGTTACAACTATTTTCGTTTTTGGGCTTGGCATCTTTGCTTATACTGTCAATGTAGGTGATAAACAGGAGTGATGATAAGATGTTATCTAGACGTTACTTCGAATGGTTTGGATGTTCCTTGATTTATTTAAACAACACTTCTACAATCTCCATATAAGCTTTCGCAAACTTCAATGAGGTGTTCACTTACTCCACACTGAGCCATATTATTATATTAACTGTTGAAGTATGAAGAGTTTGTCGGTGCAGTTTTTATTTCTTCAAAAACCCATCTGTTCTTCTGTCAATGCTAATTCTATTACTGGTTGCAGCGTGGTTTCTATTATCTTAGAAATGTACGCATAGCAAAAATATACATAGCATACATGTACATACAGCAGACTTGTACAATATATCTAATACACAACAAACAAATACAACATAAAAAAGCAATCATAAAACAAAGACAAACAAAAAACATAAAGTAAATTTCACAAAGAGACATCATAAATTACGTGACTCTTCTTCTTTTGTGTTTGTGATGTCACATACATTATCTTTGTGTCATATTCATAAAAACACATATCACATACACTATCTTTAGGCCACATTCATAAAAAACAGATGTTACATATATTACCATTACGTCATTCACAGAAACATATATTACATACATTATCTTTGTCACATTCATAATAATACATGTCGCTTACATTACCCTTATGTCACATTCATAAAAACATGTAAAATACATTATATTTATATCATATTCATACAAACACATGCCACATTCATAAAAACATGTCAAATACATTATATTTATATCATATTCATACAAACACATGTCACATTCATAAAAAAACATGTGGCTTTCATAAATAACATGTCACAAAGAAACAGAAAAAAAAATATCCAAAGAAAAAGCACATATCCTGTTTTAGATTCTAGCTCAATGTTAATGTCTCACCGTGATGAGATGTCTGCAGCGGTGAGTGGTCTGGTGCTGTGAGATGTCTGTGGCTGTGTGATATCTGCAGCTGTGAGTGGTCTGGTGCTGTGAGATGTCTGTGGCTGTGTGATGTCTGCAGCTGTGAGTGGTCTGGTGCTGTTACAAATGGCAGGCTGAAGATCTGAGCCACATAAACTGTGCTGGGATGTTCTGGCAGTGTGTGTGTTCATGTGCTGCAAGGACACAGCAAAATATGAGGGGAAGTCACAAATGGTTATAGGATGGCAGGAAAATGTAGTTGGTGGTTTCTAAAGGTCTCAATAGGGGATAAAAACATCAAACTTTATGTCTCCTTTCATTAGATGATGCTTTTTTTGCATGGGCAAAACAGAAACAAAATAGTGACTGTACTTACAGAAGGGGGGGGGGGGGGGCAAGAGGGCTGCCTGCAAAGGACACTCACATAGTTTTTTGTTCCCCTGAAAACTCAACTTGGTGGCTAACATTTTACATATAACGCAGAAGTTGAATGAGAAGTGAAAATGTTTGTTTAGAAAACAGAGCACACAATTGTATGCAGCAGGTTTGGGAAGACTGATACAACACAACAATGGGACAAGTGCATCAATGTTGGTGGAAATTATGTTGAAAAAAATAAAGGAAGAGTGCTTGTGTAAAAATAAATCATTTTCAAGTTGTTATCGTCTTTAGGTTTTTTAAAACAACTATTTGTGACTTACTTATTGACTTACCCTCGTGGAACAACAGTCTAGACATTCAGTGCTTCAGTCATTTTCTTCCATGAAAATGATCACTCCACACTTAATGTCAATAAACTGCTAATAGTTTATCCTGTCAATATATACAAATATGGTAAAGACTTCAGGAGTAGACCTCAAAGATAAATGTTGTAAACAACAGTGTTCTGGCAACTCCTATGTTAGCACTTTTTCACGATGGGAGAAATCATTGTATCTCCCTAGAAAGATACTACCCAATTAGGCTGGGCAGCCCCCAGTCAATAAGGTGCTGTCTCACAGGTTCATCTAATCCTGAAGGTGCGTGATCCATGGGCAAAATCCTAACACTAGAATCTCAAATCGTACACTGGGCTACAAGAAATAAGCAAAACAACTAATTCCCTTGGCAAAAATACTGAAACATGAGAAAGAGCTGATTCCAAGATAAGACAGGTGTCAAACGGACTGGTGCTCTTTGAGCACAATCTGACCTAACTAACTCAGGATGGGAGGCACAAGTATAACATGCAATGACTTGCTGTAGGATCCGCCTCATCTTGAAGATGTGGAAACTGTGACAGAGACAGTCCCTCTCACATCAAACTATTTAGTCTCTAGCAGGGTTCTCAGGTGTTTGCCTCTATAGTCCTGCAGGACTAGTTAATTTCCAGTAGTGCTGTCAGGTGTTCTGTATTCATTCAGGCTACAACTAATATAGGCTAACAATGAAATATTAGTAGAACATGACAGATGTTACACTTTCGCGGTGTAGGAATATCCCCAGAAATGGTATACATTTAGGCTACAACTAATACAGGCTAATGTGTAACAATGAAATATTTGCAGAACATGACAAGTCTAACGGGAGCATGCCCAGCAGGAGTCTACTGATCTTCAGTAGGTGTCCCCCTTCAACATTTGTTTCTGTTCGTTTACCTCCCTAGACAATCTCTGGGTGGGGTTGGTAGGGGTCGGGGGAATTGGGGTCCTGACTTCCAGGCCTCAGTCATCTCCTGCTATGCTGATCAGACAATCAGACACGAGGTTATGGTGACTGCAACAGGTTATGTTGACTGCAACAGGTTATGGTAACTGCAACAGGTTATGGTGACTGCAACAGGTTTTGGTAACCTTAAACTCTTCAGATACTGACTTGAAAGGAAGTACCAGCTTAGCCTGTTTACAATACAGAGCCACGTCAGTCAGACAAGGTGGCACTTCAAGCTTTTTCCTCATGGTGGTGTTATGATTTCCACTCCATTTCTTCTACTGCACTCGTGCTAACCTCATACACTAGCAGTGGCCAGAGGAGCTTTGAAATCAACATAAGCTGGATACACCAGACCTTGAACTTCCTGACCAGCCTGCTGGGCTAAAAGAGAGCAGATCTGTTCCAGGGACTTATGTATATGCCAGACTTTTTTCCTATCTGATAGCTTTGAATTATAAATGGGGCTGAGACTTTACTAGTTTCTTTGTTTGCCTGCCACCATGAACCTGGTTACTACCACCTTAATTTTAGGATCGAAAGACTTCCTTGACTACTGCAGCTTGAATTGCATGTTGCATCATTCGACCATCAAGCCTTTTCAGAATCAGGCATGCATCATCTTCAAGGCCTGTTATTATAGTCATATAGTATCATCCATAGATGCTCTCAGTGATGGCATCCAGTGATTCCCTAATATGAAGGCCCTGCCCATAGCCGACAGCCTTGTCCAGCATAACCTGCAAGGATATGACGAACAGTACCAGAGAAATCGTACATCCCATTGCTATTTTAGCTTGGAGCTCAGCCCACCTCGCAGTGAACATGAAAGGGGGGGGGGGGAGAGAGAAGTGTACAATGAACCTAGACAAATACTGCACGATCATAGGGATGATCTCTGCCAGTACGTAAAACATGCGAAGGGCCTGCCATAATAGCTTATGGGGTATACTGACCCATAGCGGCTGGCGAGGTCCAACCAGATCATGTGCACCTCTTTATTCTCTATCTTTGCTCTCAAGACTCCCAGGCCTTGGACATCTGCTGTGCTGATCGGACAAGACATTATGCTGACTGCAACAGGTACTGAAGTTATAGTTACCTATATACAAATATATCACCACTGTGGTAATGAATTAACCACCAATCTGCATGACCAGAATGACAAAAGGACAGTTGGTTCACTGGACAAACATTTTTTGGACAGACTTTGGCGGTTGGCTGTAGCATGAGCAGAGATGGTGATCTTACAACTTTCGCTTCAGGAATGGATGTGAAAGTTCTTTTCCACTAGGGGCTCAGATTAGTCTACTGAGGCCTATCCCCCATGTCATTCCGCTGTGTCTACAACTAGCTTAAAGCTCTTTCAGCAGCTTCGACCAGATGCTTTAGTGTCCATTTATGTTCATGTCCTCGCTAGCCCAGCTGCTTCAGTATACTGTATCCTCTAGGGCTTTCCTTGACGGCGAAGAGTTTTACAGCATACCCTTCAACGCTCCTCAAACAGTCCAGCAGATCTGTGTATTTTTCGAGCTTGTACAGGTGTTGATTTTTAATTCCTGACTCGTATGGCATGCTCAGTTTTATCAGGATGTTCTGCTGCCGAATGCAAAAACCATGTCTGGCATCAGGCCAGTCTTTCAGACTACTTCAGGGTATTACACTCAAAACCAAACTGGTCAACTGCCAGTTGCCAGTCCCTCACACAGTCAAGCATTTGGATGCAGCATATGCGGCTTTGTTGAATGTACCTTTAGAAATCTGCCCAGCCTTGAGGAAGCACATGGGGCGACGTTAGAACTGGCCCTGGCATTGACCCTCATCGTGCCTTTGTCCACAATGTCGGCCAACTCTTTCAGGACCTTATTGTGGGGGCCACTATCTGTCACGTAACAGTCCAAGCCACCCCTTTGTCTTGGACTATTCTAGATCCCGTCATCTCTATGTAAATTAGGTCAGGTTTAAAAGTGAACTCGCCTGTGTAGGTATATAGTCCATCTTATATATTTACACCTCTTTATGGCCTAATAAGTATTTCTTAATGTTCTGAGTCTCTTGGTAGAACTCCATTTTCAAACTTACAGTTAGAGGTTAGAGATTCTTTGTGATATTGCTATATTGCTCACATTCCAATGGGGCAGAGCAACCCCTAGAGTGTAGGAAACCCCCCCCCCCCCCCCCCTCTCTTTTTTGGTGGAGATGCTAAGGACTAACTTCATTCTCAGCTTGGCATCCAAGGAGAGCAGACATTTTGTGTCCTGACTCTAATTTCTATGCTAAATCTAGAAGCCCTTGTTGCCCAGGACATTTCCAAAAGCTTGGGTAAGTCTATTATAGTTTACGAGCACCATGTGTATGTGTGTGTGTGTGTGTGTATATATATATATATATATATATATATATATATATGTTATATATGTTATATATATATATATATATATATATATATATATATATATATATATATATATATATATATATATATATATATATAATATATATATATATATATATATATATATAAATATATATATAAATATATCTAGATTTGCTGCTGAGGGTGGGACCAGCTTTGTTATGGGATATTACAGGGCTATGCTTATCTTACTGCAAATTACTGGGGCCTGCCTAAATCAGACATCTCCATTACAGGCTGAGGTGATATGTGCTGACCATCCCAGGACTGGGGACAATGATTTAATTTAGCAGACAAATCGTTCCATAACTAGTTTTGGTTGTGGAAAGTTTAATACATATCTGGAAGCTGGCCGTATAATTAGGTCAGCACACAAAATCTGTCAATAGTGGGCAGGCATGTCTGATGTCATGGGGTATTTACAAGTTAACTCAGGTCAAAACACTGGGTGGTGACACGGAAAGCTAGATACACCTTGTTAGGTGATAAAATATAAATATTTGTGTGAGTGTTAGTCTGTGTGGCTACAGTTGTGCAGATATGAAAGTAGAGCGATATTGTCCTCTATCAGAGAGACTTCTGTCTGTCTCCTTGTGGAACTTTGTTTCATGTCTCTTCTACTGACTGACACTGTTTGCATAGACTTGTACAGTCTCATGATCCTGAGAGCTGTCCTCTGAGCTGTATTTGTTAGGATATAGAGTTAAGTGGGAGCTGGGCATATGATTTTGAGATGACTGCTAACCCTAGTGTTCCATTTCCTCACAGGATGAGATCTCCTTGCTTGGAGGCCAGGCAGTTAATCAACAGCCCAAAAAGCCACCAACAGCCACCAACTTGAAAGCCACCAGCTCTTATTTGCCACAAGCAGCCAGAAGATGGCATCATAGGTCTGGCCGACAGCTGTTTGATGGCCAGGTAGTGACCAGTGATTACCTTTGAGTAGTGACCAGTGATTATCTTGGAGTAGTGACCAGTGATTACCTTGGAGTAGTGACCAGTGATTACCTTGGAGTAGTGACCAGTGATTACCTTGGAGTAGTGACCAGTGATTACCTTGGAGTAGTGACCAGTGATTACCTTGGAGTAGTGACCAGTGATTACCTTGGAGAGACCCACATTCAGGGAGCCACTCAGAAAGCCTGGGGGACTATCATCCCGGGTGACATTATTTATATTATAGTAACGTGCATCTTGGAATTGGTGAACCCATATGACTTGGTTGGCCAGCTATCAAAAATTGAACATTGTGTGAATTTTCCGGGAGCCTACCAGTTCAGAGACAGTGTTCCAGCCAGCCCAGTTGTTGTGGAGCAAGCGGAGCAGTGGACCAGACCTGGAGGAAGATAAGTACACCAGCCTTGGTGGTCGATTCAGATTTATCCCACACTTGTGCCATGATGATAATGGTGGCTCCTAAGGACAAATCTTGTGCCAGTCATATCTATATGTCTGTGGTTTCTTAATGTCATTGATTTTGTTGAGTTCCTTTTGCCTGATTCATATATGTATATGTTAAACTGATTACAACATGTCTTTGGAATTTGTCATCCTTGATTTAGTGTTCATCCTTCACTGTTCCTAGTTGTCTGGAGTGTGTGTAATTATTAAATTACATAACTATGTTGTATTGACTATGATAATAGACTATCTATTCTGGGGGCTGTTTTTTTGGTAGTAGTGAGGACGTCAGGCCAAGTTGAGCCTAGGAGTTTATATTCCGTAGTGCCATAACTTGTGTCACCTCACCCCTGAAATAGGCTGGATGTGTACTGGAGCTGCGGGATTCCGTCTAGACCATTGCGAGCTGACATCCCAACATTTATAACTATTTCAGAGTGCTCTTGGTTCATTAGGAGAAATCCTTACCTAGGCACAGGACACGAGCAGTATGTGACAGTATCATCCATGACCTAGGGCTATTCTGCAATGGGCAATATGTGCTTGAGCATCTGCTTCACTCTACATAAGGGAATATATTCTAAAAATGGTATACATTCTGGCTGCGAGCATTATAGGCTAGTGTATAACAATAAAAATTTTAGTACAACATGACAGATATTAAATATGGGTTTGGTAATATCCCTAGAAATAGTATAGATTCAGAAACTCTTTATGTAGAGAACTGACTGCTAGTGTTTTGTGGGTGAATACCATTGACTTTGTACTTTAATAGATATTCTAAATACTGACCTCCATCTTCAAATGCAGCAGTTCCATCTCCAACATTTTCACTTGTGCCTCCTTCTGAGCAGCAACTGTCTTAAGTTGTTCCACAATATTGTGATCATGTTGGCTCCTGACTGTCATCTGCTGTAGCTGTTGTTGCTGCAGATGTTCATGTTGTGACTGTTGCTTGTTGTGATCCTCAAGTAACTGTTTCAGCTGTGACTGTTGTTTCTGCAAAGAAGAGAGAAGGGCTGTTGTAGTGATAGTTTGATCAAATCACTGTTGAAGTGGTAGGCTGATCAAATCACTGTTGTAGTGATAGTTTGATCAATCACTGGTGTAGTGGTAGTTTGATTAAATCACTAATGTGGTGGTAATGTGATTAAATCACTGTAGTGGTAAAAGCCTCATTATATCACAGTGCTGGTAATAGTCTCATTAAATCATTGTTTTAGTAATCAGCATCATCGGGTTTCTTGCTAACCAGCATGTGTGATCATACCTTTTCACAATTTGTGATCTTCAACAGCATTATAAGTCTGTCTGCTGACACTGTCTCCCTGTCATGACAAAATGCTGTAAAGAATATTTTCTCACTGTCTTCCTGTCTTTTGTCCACAGATCTATCAAGTGCTCACAACATATTACAGTTTCTTCCTTCTCATAATGTGAACAAAATATGATGACAGTCTTTTTTTTGTATGTTTGTGATAAACTGTCTTTGAGCCTTTGCCTCTTTCCAAATCTCTGGGTTGCTAATTTTTCATTATCCAAGGAATTCAAAGGATTCTTTTGTAAATTTACACATATGAGGCCTCAAGAATTCATTTGGCATGACTATTTATTGTCCAGAATTCTCAGGAAGATATGTTAACAATTGCTCTATACAGCATGTGATAATTCTGCCCATAACCGTCAATGACACAAACTAACTGCATAAGAAGTTCAGTTCTGTTTCAGTTTTAGCCTGTTCTATTCTATTGTTTATCTCTACACCTTCCATCCAATGTTATCTATACGCCTAAATACTTAAATTTCTGCTGCACACCTGGATCTAAAACTTCAACACCCCTACAACAAATACTGGTGGAAACCTAGAGCAAATACTGTTGGATGCCTAGAACAAATACTGCTGGATACCTAGAACAAATACTGCTGGATACCTAGAACAAATACTGCTGGATACCTAGAACAAATACTGCTGGATACCTAGAACAAATACTGGTGGAAACCTAGAACAAATACTGCTGGATACCTAGAACAAATACTGCTGGATACCTAGAACAAATACTGCTGGATACCAGGAACAAATACTGCTAGATATCTATATATACATAAATCAATGTTTGTGTGTTGTTTTATTACCTATAGACTCGGAAACTACTCAACCTGAAATTTTCAGGATATGTTTGTTTTGATGCCGGATTTTTACCTGTCATGGTTTGAAATTTTACCTGTCATTGTTTGAGATAGGTGACGACTTTTGTTGGGAAAATTTTCAAAACTTATATTTTCATTTTAGTGACATTTAATTAAAGCCATCTTTGTAAATGCCCATGCGCAGTAGTCGGAACGAATGACTTTCACCGTGCATGCGCAGTAGACGGGACTCTCCATTTTCAACATTCGCCCGCGTGACACTGAAGTTATTTCTAGACAACAATTTCCTGCAGTTTTTATTTGTGTTAGAATCTAGAAATATCTCAAAAAGTGAGCGCATTTATTTCAGTGACATCAGTCAGTATGTACATTTTTTGTTGTTGTTGACTTCAAACATGTGTGGACCACTTCTTAAATCCCATAATGATAAATGTATACACATTATCTGTTGGCTTTCTCATATTGTCTAGCGTGTATTCTTATTGTTACTATTATTATTCTTATTATACAGAACTGCTACAGTTTAAATGTCTACACAACTTCGGTTGGCTTTCTCCTATTATTCAAAAGAATTATATACATTTATATTCATTTCCGTCTCAGGTCAACTGCAGGTAGTCTGTAGTTAAGTCGATTATTTCAGTCGCAAGACATAAATACCACAAATCTTACTGCTACACTGGAAACCTATTTATATCGTTTACCGACTTTTCTTAATATTTGCTGCACAGTTTCTGTGCATTTCCTCTTGAGTCGAAATAGATTGTTATCTCATGCTCATATTTTCATTTATTTCAGCTGGGCACTGGACACCTACCTATTCATATCGTTTACCGGCTTTTCAGATTATTTGCTGTGCAGTTTCTATGCATTTCCTCTTGAGTCAAAATAGATTGTTATCTCATGCTCATATTTTCATTTATTTCAGCGATACTTAAAGTCACATTTCATTCAGTGCGTGAGGACGAACGAGCTACTGACGATCAACGCTCTCTAAATTCACATGCTGTTCACTATTTTGTCAAACATTTGCAGCTATGCCTCCCAAACGACAAGCGATTGGCCCATCTACACCTAGAGCACACAAGAGAAAGGGCATTAATTGCTTCAGAAACAGATGAGCAACATGAAGTAAGACTATAAACCGTTTGAGTGCGCCATGCCGAAGCCTGTTCGTCTCAATCAGACCAGCAACGGAAAGCAAGACTAGAAAACGTTCGAGTGTGCACTGCTGAAGCCCATTCATCTCAATCAGACCAGTAACGGAAAGCAAGACTAGAAAACGTTCAAGTGTGCACTGCTGAAGCCCGTTCGTCTCAATCATACCAGCAACGGAAAGCAAGACTAGAAAACGTTAGAGTGTGCACTGCTGAAGCCAGATCGTCTCAGTCAGGCTTCTTTATTCATCCACCTATTTGCCTATCAGCTGGTTGGTAAGTAGGGTCAAGTAGGCAAAGAGTCTAGAGTATAGCATTACTAAAAAAGTGTTGACAATAAATCTTATTCTTGTTTAACACTAACCATTAGGGCATCAATGAATTCATCATCATTTCTGCTTTTTTTCAACAGCATTTGCAACTGCGACTTCATTGTCTTTATTTCATTTGAAAGTACATGATTCCTAAGAAAGAAAAAGCAAAGCATATACATAAAACTGTAAAGTACATGATACATACAAACTTTACGGTACATGATTCTTAAGAAAGAAAGAATTAAAGCATACACATAAAACTGTAAAGTACATGATACATACAAACTTTACGGTACATGATTCTTAAGAAAGAAAGAATTAAAGCATATACATAAAACTGTATAGTACATTATACATACAAACTCAACAGTACATGATTCCTAAGAAAGAAAGAATTAAAGCATTTACATAAAACTTTATAGTACATGATACATACAAACTTTACAGTACATGATTCTTAAGAAAGAAAGAATTAAAGCATATAAATAAAACTTTATAGTACATGATACATACAAACTTTACAGTACATGATTCTTAATAAAGAAAGAATTAAAGCATTTACATAAAACTTTATAGTACATGATACATACAAACTTTACAGTACATGATTCTTAAGAAAGAAAGAATTAAAGCATACACATAAAACTTTATAGTACATGATACATACAAACTTTACAGTACATGATTCTTAAGAAAGAAAGAATTAAAGCATACACATAAAACTTAAAATTACATGATTCCTAAGAATGAGAGAATAAAAGCATGCACATAAAACTTTACAGCACATGATTCCTAAGAAAGAAAGAACTGAAGCATACACATAAAATTAAACAATACATGATTTCCAAGAAAGAATTAACAATGAAAGCAAACATACAAAATGTTACAGTAGATGATTTGTTTTTTAAAAAAAAAAAAAAAAGAATTACAGCAAACATAAAACTTCACAGTAAATGATTTTTTAAATTAAAAAAAAAAACTCAAAGCAAAGGTACAAAACTTAAAGGCAGATCACGTAAATGATGGACAGAAGGAATGAAGGAGTCCCTGGGACTTCCCATATATAAAGCTACAAATGGGCAGATTATACTGCACCTTGAAACCACCAGGGACAAGAGGATCAAGAGGAGATGAGATGATACAAAAACAACAGTAAGTAATGCCTGAATAAGAATCAAACAAAACGTACAAGTTTATAGCACATAATGTGAAACACACAAAAAAAAACATCTGAAATATTTTAACAGACCTCTGTCCGTCAGTAGCATGTCCTTTAAAGAACCTTGCTACCATAACAACCCTCCGGAAAACTTCTTGATGCCAAGCAAGATGTCCCGCATCTGATACACCCATCTGGAAAACTTCTTGATCACAAGCAAGATGTCCCGCGTCTGATACACCCATCTGGAGATCATCTTCTATATCCTGCACTTATTTTCTCTTTGGCCTTCATCTGACTTTCTTCCCAGGCATATATACCTGCACTATTGTTCTCTCCAAACTTTTGTGATGTTTCTAGTGACCAAAATATTTAAATTTTCCGTGTTTTATCATCTTTAATAGTCAGCCAAGTATGGATGCATTTTTTTCTTTTCTTTACCCATGACTTTCTTAGAACCTGTCTATGACATTCTTAGAACCTGTCTATGACATTCTTAGAACCTGTCTATGACATTCTTAGAACCTGTCTATGACATTCTTAGAACCTGTCTATGACATTCTTAGAACCTGTCTATGACATTCTTAGAACCTGTCTATGACATTCTTAGAACCTGTCTATGACATTTCTATTCATATGACATTTCTATTCAAAGGCATTTATGTACTGTTCAGCTTGTTTAGTAAGTGTCCAGGTCTCACAGGCTTGTGTTGCAATGGAAAAGATGCATGCTCTTAGAAATATAATTTTTGTAATTCTGTCCGTTCCACTACATAATTTATTCAGTTCAGTTGTTTTAGTCTTTGAAGAGCAATTGATAGTCCTTTAATTTCTTTCAGTGTAACCATTTTTTGGTAATCAATGACCTAAGATATTCAAAATTTTCCACAACCTCAAATCTTTCCTCATTAACATATTTTTCTTTTTCCATAGTAGTTTTATCTGTATGCATTATCTCTGTTTTTACTATGTTAAGATATAAGTTATGATTTTCACCATTTCTCTGGGTTGAGGTTATTAAGTTGACTATACCAGTCTGTGATGTGGATAGCAATGCCGTATCATTGGCATATCAGATCTCTGGTATTTCATGACTACGGATATTTAGGACATCATATTGTTCTCTGGTTATATCATCTCTGACATTTCTCATCATATCCTGATGAACTTCTTGCTTGATGTGAAACCAGTCTGATGTCTCCCCATCTATTCTAACCACTGCTTGTTGGTCTAGATAGAGCACTGATGTAAGGTGTACTTCATGTGATGGAAAGCTCATATTCCTCATGATTTCTAAAGTTTCTGATGTTGAACACAGACAAATGACTTTAAATAATCCACAAAACGTGTCAATAGGTTAAAATTAAATTCTCTGAACTTCTCTATTATTAAATGCAGGTGGACGATGTGATCTCTTGTTCCTCTTCCTTGTCTAAATCCAGCTTAAACCATGTTAATCTCCTCTTCCAAATTCTTACAAAGTCCTCCCATTATGAATTTTAGTAGAATGTTACTTGCATAACTGATCAGGGCAACAGTTCTATAATTGGTGCATAATTTCAGGTTGCCCTTTTTTTTTTGGCATTGGAATGAAGATAGTTCTCTTTCAGTCATTTGGCCATATTCCATATTTCCATAACTTTTTACATAATGCGTGATAGGTTTGTATGCTGTCTTCCCCTCTCGCTTTAATTAGTTCAGCAGGTATCTCATCACATCCTGGGGATTGACCATTCTTCAGGTTCTTTATTGGCCATGCAATTTCATCTAATGATGGTTCAGATTCTGTCTCTGCTGTCATTGGTTCATGTTTACCATTCATATCCTCACAGTCATTTATATCCTCACAGTCATTCACATCCACACATTCATTCATATCCTCACAGTCATTCATATCCTCACAGTCATTCATAACCACACAGTCATTCATATCCTCACAGTCATTCATATCCTCACAGTCATTCATATCCTCACAGTCATTCACATCCTCACAGTCATTCACATCCTCACAGTCATTCATATCCTCACAGTCGTTCACATCCTCACAGTCATTCATATCCTCACAGTCATTCACATCCTCACAGTCATTCATATCCTCACAGTCATTCACATCCTCACAGTCATTCACATCCTCACAGTCATTCATATCCTCACAGTCATTCATATCCTCACAGTCATTCACATCCTCACAGTCATTCACATCCTTACAGTCATTCATATCCTCACAGTCATTCATATCCTCACAGTCATTCATATCCTCACAGTCATTCATATCCTCACAGTCATTCATATCCTCACAGTCATTCACATCCTCACAGTCATTCACATCCTCACAGTCATTCATATCCTCACAGTCATTCATATCCTCTCAGTCATTCACATCCTCACAGTCATTCATATCCTCACAGTCATTCATATCCTCACAGTCATTCATATCCTCACAGTCATTCATATCCTCACAGTCATTCACATCCTCACAGTCATTCATATCCTCACAGTCATTCACATCCTTACAGTCATTCATATCCTTACAGTCATTCACATCCTCACAGTCATTCACATCCTCACAGTCATTCATATCCTCACAGTCATTCATATCCTCACAGTCATTCACATCCTCACAGTCATTCATATCCTCACAGTCATTCACATCCTCACAGTCATTAATATCCTCACAGTCATTCATATCCTCACAGTCATTCACATCCTCACAGTCATTAACATCCTCACAGTCATTCATATCCTCACAGTCATTCATATCCTTACAGTCATTCATATCCTCACAGTCATTCACATCCTCACAGTCATTCATATCCTTACAGTCATTCATATCCTCACAGTCATTTATATCCTCACAGTCATTCATATCCTCACAGTCATTCACATCCTCACAGTCATTCATATCCTCACAGTCATTCATATCCTCACAGTCATTCATATCCTCACAGTCATTCACATCCTCACAGTCATTCATATCCTCACAGTCATTCACATCAAACATTCCACTGCAGTATTTCTGCCATCTTTCTAGAATTTTTCCAGACTCTGTCAAGTCAAGGTATTTCCCAATTAGTCACAGATAACATTTAATCGAGGTTGAAAATTTCTTGTCAATAACTTCATTTCTTTGAATATTTCGGTATCTCTTCCATTCTTATGATATTGCTCTATTTTAATACAACAATCACGTAGGGCTATCCTCCGAATAACGGCCACATATTATGGCGGCCAAAACAGGGCCTCAGTCACATGTAAATTGCAGACTTCCAGCGACTTAAATTGCAGACTTCCAGCGACTACCGCTACAGCCGAAAGTATCTCCCGCGCCACGGAGTGGGGCTAAACTAAATGGCTGGGACTCACGAGTAGCAGCTTCCGCATTTCCTGCAGCTTTGCTTGTGAGTCCCAGCCATCTAGTTTAGCCCCGCTACGCACGGCACGGGAGATACTCTCAGTGGTGGCCGTAGTTGCCGGAAGTCTGCAATTTAAGTCACCGGAAGTCCGCAATTTACATGTGACTGAGGCCTTGTCAGGGTTTGTTTTTAGCTGCCATAATATGTGGCTGTTATTCGAAGGATAGCCACATGTATATACTGTTTTTTTCCCCCCCTTTTAAAAACCTACCCAGTTCAAAAGTAAATGATTTTTAGAAAAGAAAGAATAAAAGCAAATGTACAAAAATTTACTTAACAGATGATGATTTGAAAGAAAGAATGAGAGAAAATATACACAACTTTGCTGCACATGATTGCTAAGAAACAAAAAATGAAATCAAGCCATCTGTACTTGAGAGTACTTGATATCTTGGAGAACAATTATAGCAGACAGTGTTCTTATCTCTGTATCCACGACAAGTGCCAGAGTCAATCACAGCCAGCAAACTATGCTGTCAATGAGGAGACAGCATGGATGCAACAAGACAACAGCACTGACCTGATTCATGGTTCTAATGATCATTTTGGACGATGAATCATGACCGCTCACACTTAACGTCATAGCATATGATGATGATGTTACTGGCACACTCCAATATTTAACATTTTGTTACACTCAATTATAAAATTATATTGTTACACTCCATTATATAATCATTCTGTTAAAGATAATTTTATTATTATCTTGGAAAAAATTATAAAACCAAATCTGCACATGTCAAGAGCATCACATACTCAGTAAGAAAATATGGCAACACTGCACCTAGATTTACCTCAACCAGATTTACCTCGCCCAGATTTACCAGGCAAATGTTACAATGTAAGACAAATAGACAACACCTCACCTAGCTTTGCCAGCATCGAGTTTTTCCAGCAAACTATGATTTTCTGCTTCTAGATTTTTTAGTTTGATTGCAGTATTCTGAAGAAAAAAAATTTACTCCATTAAAACAACATCGAATTCTACAGAAGCACTGCAAATCTAGAACTGACATCACCGAACTTGAGACATTCCTACACATGCTAGAGTAGCCAACAAAGTCTTTCCATGATTATGTTGCCAGCTACAACAGGATTTCAAGCATGCCTGTCTTTATCTACGCACATCGAATTTCATGCAAACTCTGTTCACTCCCCACTGGGTCACTTCAGGTTACATTATCACAATGGACATAACTTTGACCACCCCTTTATGCCTAACTCTGACCATCTCTCTCAACCTAACTCTGACCATCTCTCTCTACCTAACTCTGACCATCTCCCTCTACTTAACTCTGACCATCTCTCTAAACCTAACTTTGACCATCTCTCTCTACCTAACTGACCATCTCTCTCTACCTAACTCTGACCATCTCTCTCTCTACTTAACTCTGAACATCTCTCTCAACCTAACTCTGAACATCTCTCTCAGCCTAACTCTGACCATCTCTCTCTACCTAACTCTGACCATCTCTCTCTACCTAACTCTGACCATCTCCCTTTACCTAACTCTGACCATCTCTCTCTACCTAACTCTGACCATCTCCCTTTACCTAACTCTGACCATCTCTCTCTACCTAACTCTGACCATCTCTCTCTACCTAACTCTGACCATCTCTTTCTACCTAACTCTGACCATCTCTCTCTACCTAACTCTGACCATCTCTTTCTACCTAACTCTGACCATCTCTCTCTACCTAACTCTGAACATCTCCCTTTACCTAACTCTGACCATCTCTCTCTACCTAACTCTGACCATCTTTCTCTACCTAACTCTGAACATCTCTCTCTACCTAACTCTGAACATCTCTCTCTACCTAACTCTGACCATCTCTCTATACCTAACTCTGACCATCTCCCTCTACCTAACTCTGACCATCTCTCTCTACCTAACTCTGAACATCTCTTTCTACCTAACTCTGACCATCTCCCTCTACCTAACTCTGAACATCTCTCTCTCTACCTAACTCTGACCATCTCTCTATACCTAACTCTCACCATCTCTATACCTAACTCTGACCATCTCTCTCTACCTAACTCTGACCATCTCTCTCTACCTAACTCTGACCATCTCTCTCTACCTAACTCTGACCATCTCTCTCTACCTAACTCTCACCATCTCTATACCTAACTCTGACCATCTCTCTATACCTAACTCTCACCATCTCTATATACCTAACTCTGACCATCTCTCTCTACCTAACTCTGACCATCTCTCTCTACCTAACTCTGACCATCTCTCTCTACCTAACTCTGACCATCTCTCTATACCTAACTCTGACCATCTCTCTCTACCTAACTCCGAATATCCCTCTGTACCTAACTCTGACCATCTCTTTCTACCTAGCATTGACCATCTACCTAACTCTGACCATCTCTCTATACCTAACTCTAATTTTGACCACCGTGTGCGTGTATCTCTGTGTGTGTGGCTTCGTGTGTATCTGTGTGTGTGACTTTTTGATAATGTGTGCATGTGTTTGTGTGTGCATGTGTGTGTCTGTGTGAGTGTTTGTGCATCTGTGGGTGTACTTGTATGTATGTGTGTGCCATTATGTGTCTGTATGTATGGTAGTGTCTGTGTCTGTGTGTCACTATGGATGTGTCTATTATATAATGTTTGTGTGTGTCTCTGTATGTGTCAGTTCAAGTGTAGGGTATGTTGGTGTACATATGTGTGTCTGTATTTGTGACTGTGTGCGTGTTTGTGTGTGTAACTGTGTATGTGTGAGTGTTGCATATGTCTATGTATGTGTCTGTGTCTGTTTGTTTCCCTGCCTGCGTGTGTGTATGTGTTTGTGCCTGTGGCTGCATGTCTGTGTCTGTGTGGGTTTATGTATGTCTGTGTGCATCACTGTGTATGTTTGTAGTCTTTTTTCTGCGGCTACATGTGTGCATGTGTGTTTGTATAGCTGTATGTGTCTGGGTTGTATGCGTGTGTGTTGCAAATTGTGTGTTTCGAGAGTGTGTCTGTGTGGGTTACTGTGTGTATGAGTGTGTGTGTGTGTGCATGTGTGTGTATGTATGTATGTATGTATGTATGTATGTATGTATGTATGTATGTATGTATGTATGTATGTATGTATGTGTGTGTATGCATGTACGTATGTGTGTGTGTGTGTGTGCTTGTTTGTATGCATGTGTATGTATGTGTGTACTGGGTGCCTATGTGAGTGTGTAAGTGAGTGAATGGGTTTGTGTGTGTATGTGGGTGTGTGTGTTCGTGCGCATGTATTTTACCACGCATGCTATTGTTTTTGACTTGATATTCATAATATGCATATTATTACATGAACATAACATGCTTTATTGATGAAATACAACTGCTGTGTGAAAAATGGGAGTTTAAAAGGGCTGAATGTAAGACGGGCCTGCGTGCCTAATTTGTGACCCTTTTAAAATAAAGTTCAATCGTTCGTTCATCTATCTCTCTCTCTCTCTACCTTACTTTGACTATCTCACTTCACCTAACTTTGACCATCTCTATCTTCCTAACTTTGACTCACTCTCTCTCTACCTAACTTTAACTCTTTCTCTCTACCTAACTGACAATCTCTCTCTAACTTTGACTCTCTCTCTCTACCTAGCTCCTACCATCTCTCTCTACCTAACTTTGACTCTCTCTCTCTACCTAACTCTGACCATCTCTCTCTACCTAACTTTTTTCTACCCAACTTCGACAATTTCTCTCTAAATAACTCTGACAATTTCTCTCTACCTAACTCTGATCATCTCTCTCTACCTAACTTTGACCACCTCTACCTAAATTTGACCATATCTCTCTCTCTTCTACTGGATCATCTCTCTCTACCTAACTCTGATCATCTCTCTTAACCTAACTCTGATCATCTCTCTTAACCTAACTCTGATCATCTCTCTTAACCTAACTCTGATCATCTCTCTTAACCTAACTCTGATCATCTCTCTTAACCTAACTCTGATCATCTCTCTTAACCTAATACTCTGATCATCTCTAGACTTTGCTCCTAATATGATGATCATCTCTCTGTTTATAATCGGCTAATCTGACCACGCTCTCTTCACCTAACTCTGATCATCTCTCTAGGCCCTCAAATATTATCCTCAAAGCTTCATGATCATCTCTTGTTTATATATAAATGGAAGGCAACAGTGAACACCTAATCATATTACACATAAAACCTAGGATGACCTATACAAAACAAGTCTGCTCTATACCTAACTCTGATCATCTCTCTCAAAAGTACCACTAACTCTGGATCATCTCTCTCTATACCTAACTCCGTGATCATCTCTCTCTCTACTACTATAACTCATGATGATACATGAATACCTAACTAACTACTCTCCTGATCAGCTCTCTCTACCCTAACTTTGACCACCTCTACCCTAAATTGAATGATATCTCTCTCTCTACCTATCTCTGAATCTATCTCTAACTGATGATCATCTCTGATGTATCTACCTAACTGAGCATGAATGACCATCTCTCTGAATTACTTGAATATCTCTCTCTCTATCTATCTCTCTCTCTCTCTTTCTAACTGTACAGCTGAAAATGTTTTACCAATCTCGTATGAATGAAGATATTAAAAACATGATCTCGATGAAAACAAATCCTCTCTACTCTCTCAGATCTCTCTATAGGACTGATTTCTCTACCTCTATGAATGAAATGATGTTTTGAATCCAATGTCTGTTGAAATTAAGCGGCTGACATGATGTAAAAGCACGAAAGATACTCAATTAGAAGACATGTTAGACGGGTCTGCTTGCCCAATTTTTTACCCTTTAAATAGTCTGTTCGTTCATACGTTTGTTTGTTCGTACCTAACTCTGACCATCCCTCTCTCCCTAACTTTGACCATAATCCCTAACTAAGTTTGACTATCAAATTGACCTAGTCTTGACCATTAGCTGCAACAATAGTCCTGTTTTATAGCGAAATACAGACAGGTCACTTCTTGATGGGCAATGACATAAATATCTTGTCAAGGACAAAGACAATTAAATTTATATAATTAAACATTGCACCTCTTGAGCCTCTTTTCTGTCTTTCTCCATCTTTCTCAGCTCATCCTTATATTTCTCCTCTTGTCTTCGCTTTGCATTTGTGTTCTTCTCTCCGTCTGTAGCAGAACCATCCAACAACAGTGCCTTCAGTTCTTCAACCTGCACATAATAAACATTACTTGTGTGACTTCTACAGAGCAAGTAAATTCTCATACACAAGGCAAAGCTACAGTTGACAGTATGTAAATTCTCATACACAAGGCACAGTTACAGTTGACAGTGTATGTAAATTCTCATACATCAGGCAAGGTTACAGCTGACAGAGTATGTACTTAAGGTAAGGTAACAGCTGACAGAGTATGTAAACTGTCATATATCAGGCAAGGTTTCAGCTGACAGAGTATGTAAACTGTCATATATCAGGCAAGGTTTCAGCTGACAGAGTATGTAAACTGTCATATATCAGGCAAGGTTTCAGTTGACAGAGTATGTAACTGTCATATATCAGGCAAGGTTTCAGTTGACAGAGTATGTAAACTGTCATATATCAGGCAAGGTTTCAGCTGACAGAGTATGTAAACTGTCATATATCAGGTAAGGTTTCAGTTGACAGAGTATGTAAACTGTCATATATCAGGCAAGGTTTCAGTTGACAGAGTATGTAAACTGTCATATATCAGGTAAGGTTTCAGTTGACAGAGTATGTAAACTGTCATATATCAGGTAAGGTTTCAGTTGACAGAGTATGTAAACTGTCATATATCAGGCAAGGTTTCAGCTGACAGAGTATGTAAACTGTCATATATCAGGTAAGGTTTCAGCTGACAGAGTATGTAAACTGTCATATATCAGGTAAGGTTTCAGTTGACAGAGTATGTAAACTATCATATATCAGGTAAGGTTTCAGTTGACATCAGGCAACTTTACAGTTGACGGTGTATGTACATCAGGCAACATTACAGTTCACAGAGTATGTATGCCAGGCAATGTTACAGCTGACAGAATATGTACATCAGGTAAAGTTACAGTTGACGGTGTATGTACATCAGGCATCAGGCAATGTTACAGTTGACCGAGTACATACACCAGTTAACATTAAAGTTGATGAAGTATATACACCAGGGAAGGATACAGTTGACAAGAGTACGTAAACTAGGCAAGGTTACAGTTGACAGAGTATGTCACAGTTCACATACATGCTGAAACACACTAATACTCTAGAAAACACACAGATACACTCTAAAACACAAATAACTCAGAAATCCAGACATACTCTGAAACACACAGATATACTCTTAGTTACAGAGTAACCCATGGATCATGCAGACACTGTTAATGCTGTTAGAGAGGTCTGGCATATGGATCATGCAGACACTGTTCGTGCCATTAGAGAGGTAGGACGTTCAGAGGATTTTGGGAGCAGCACATCTTTGCTAAGAGTGCAAGAGCTGGGAGTAAAGATCAGCACAGCCAGGCATGAGAAGCACACCGGACGCACGAGAAGTCTTGACAACCAACACAGGACTGGGACTATCAACCCCCGGGAAGCTGATGTATATGTTTAAGGGGTAATATGAGCACCTTTGGACATGTTTGGAGTGCTGTGAAGATAACCCACATCATAACTCATAACATAGATATACTTGAAACATACAGATACACTCTGAAACACACAGATAGACTCTGAAACACATAGATACACTCTGAAACACACAGATACACTCTGAAACACACAGATACACTCTGAAACACACATATATACTCTGAAACACACAGATATACTCTGAAACACACATATATACTCTGAAACACACAGATATACTCTGAACACACTCTGAAACACACAGATACACTCTGAAACACACAGATATACTCTAAAACACACAGATACACTCTGAAACACACAGATATACTCTGAAACACACAGATACATGTTGAAACAACCATATATACTCTGAAACCTAGATATACTCAGAAACATACAGATATACTCTAAACACACAGATACATTCTGAAGCATATAGATATATTCAAATACATAAAGATATACTCTAAACACATAGATACATTCTGAAACACACAGATACATTTTAAAACATATAGGTATACTCTGAAACTCAGTTACACCCAGAAACACATATATACTCTGAGACACATAGATATACTCTGAGACACAGATATATTCTGAACATTTTAACAAACTACGAAACACATAGTTACACTCTGAAACACATAGATATACTCTGAAGCACTAAATACAATCTGAAACACACAGATACACTCAGAAACACATAGATACAGTACGCAACACATAGATATCCTCTGATAAACACACACAAAATTATATGCACATATATAAATGTATATATATATATATATATATATATTCTGAAACATACAGATATACTCTGGAATACAGAAACATTCAGAAACAAAAAGATATACTCTGAAACACACAGAGAAACTCTGAAACAAATACATATACTCTGAAACATAGAGATTTGCTCAGAAACACTCAGTTATACTCTAAACACCTAGACATACTAAAACAAACGGATACACTGTGAAATGTACAAAAAAACTCTCAAACACACAGATATTTTCTGAAACACACAGATACACTCTGAAACTCACAGATAGATTCTTAAACACATAGACATACTCCCAAAACACAGATGCACTCTAAATGCCTAGACACACTCTGAAACATACAGATACAATAAAAAACACATAGATACACTCTAAACACACAGATATACTCTAAACACATAGATATACTTGAAACAGACATGTTCTGAAACATATAGATACACTCTAAAAAACACAGATATACTCTGAAAAACAGATGTTGTCTAACATTCAGATACTCTCCAACATCTTCATACAATAAAAGATATGTGTAAGAACAAACAACAGGTGGCAGCTTCAGTAAATAAAAAATGGAAACCAGACAAGTGCTTACTTTTCCCTGCAGGGCTAAGATTTGTTGAGCCCTTCCCCTCCAATTACTGGACTCATTCAGGAGCGTCTGGAAGTTGATATTCTCTCCAATCTCCTGACACAACACCTACAAGAGAAACTCAACATCATCATCATCATCTAACTCTGATACAGCTACTTTTTTTTTCTTAATACAAAAGTTCAAGCTTTGAGGACAGGATACAGAGAGACACACAACACTGTCTAACTCAGATACATAATTGTTAGTGTCACTCACAGCTGAAAATCTACAGGAAATTAAAGCTCTGAGGATATAGGGAGAGACGCACATCACTGTCAAACTCTGATACATAACTGTTGGTGTCACTGACAACAACAAATCTACAGGAAATTTAAAGCTCTGGCTCTCCTGTAAAGTACGGCCGGTAGACAACACTAGATGGCCGGTTAGTCGGAGTTTTGTCCCTTGGCTACAGTGCAATTACAGAGTGGAAAAGGCACGAATCACAACACAAAGTGACGTCGACATGCCTTGCAGACTCCGAGCTGCGACTCAAATTAGCGACCGCGTTCAATTACCCCTTCTTGCGAGGGTTAGGGTTTGGGTTGCTACTATGAGTTTGTGCGAAGACGAGATGCGGCGACACTATCCATAACCCTAACCCACACCCTAACCCTAACCCAAAACCTAACCCAAACCCTAATCCAAACCCTATCCCTAACCCTAGCTCTAACCCAAACCCTAACCCATACCCTAACCCAAACCGTAACCGTATGATTATAGCAGGGCAGTGCACGCTGTCTATCGCCAACACATAGTACTTGTGTCATTTGTTTCATTCCCTCCTTTTCCACTCCGTAATTGCACTGTAGCCAAGGGACAGAACTCTGACTAACCGACCGTCTTCTGTTGCCTACCGGCCGTAGTTGACAGGAGAGCCGAAAATCGACAGGAAAGCTAAGTTCTGTGGATAGCATATATATATATATATATATATATATTTATATATATATGAGAGAGAGAGAGATATATATATATATATATATATATATATATATTTATATATATATATTTATATATATATATTTATATATATATATATTTATATATATATATATATATATAGAGATAGAGAGAGAGAGAGAGAGAGAGAGGGGGGGGGAGAGAGGAGAGAGAGAGAGAGAGAGAACATTGTCTAACTGATACAATATGAGATAACTGAAATATTTCTGCCACATTAAAGAAAAAAAATGTATTTAAAAACAAATCTTACTTCACAGAAAAGTTGAAGGCAAAATAGCAAGAGGGAGGCAATATTACAAGCAGTAGGACAATATCAAGAGATGGATGAACAAGCATTTGAGAGAGTGTACAACCAGGACAGTTGACAGAGTGTGTTGCGATCTGTTACAGTAAGCCTTCACTGAGGAGTGAGCACCTGGTTAATTAATTGATCTAAAACTCACACAAATGGGGGCGGGGGGTGGGTGGCGGTAAGGGCTAGAAAAGTACAACAAACCTTATGAGCAACTTTAAGTTCTTGTCGTAAAGACAAGCACTGATTGCGAAAGTCTGTAGCTCGAGTTTCTGATTGCTTCAGCCTGTCTTGCAACAATTTGACATCAACACCATCATCATCTCCATTCCTCTCGCCATTTGGGTGGAGTCTGACCGCTGAAGTCTCTACTGACATGGTTGCCGGAGTTAGGAGTGACTGCGCCTGATCACATACAGAGACAGAACAACATCAACAAATATGTCAACTTTCTTGTGTCTCAGTTCGATTTTGTACAATAACTGTCAACCATCACTTTTTGTGTACCAGCACAATGTTGTAAAAAAAAACTGTTAACTATCACTTCTTGTGTACCAGTACATTGTTGTACAACTGCCAACCTTCACTTCTTGTGTACCAGTACAAGTTTGTACAACAATTGCAACTATTCAAAAATGCACATTGTGAGTAACAGGTGATTGTAGAAATTTAACCTCAGGCCCTATTTCTATTCAATTTCTAAAGTAAGGGGATATTAAAACAAAACCCAAGAAAAATATTTAATGTTAGTAAGAAGAATAAATCTGATTGGTTATAACACAATTTCTTTATTTTGAAAATTAAAGTTACTATGATTTTAACCCGTTACAAGACATTTAAACAACTACAAATGGTTTATCAAGATGTTTTCTCTCTCTCTCTCCCCCCCCCCCCCCCCCCCCCCCCCCCCCCCCCCCCCCCCCCCGCCTTATTTTTATTCAATGCCTCCCAATGTTTTATCACCTTCATTTTCATTCATACAATTTTCCTATTTTGCTTCTTTTTTTTTTTTTTTGCAGCACAGCACTTGAAAGCCTCCACCTTATCTCATTTGAAAAAAAAAAAAACATTTTTCACTAACTGCACTTCTTCTCACGATCTTAAGGGTGTTGGTCACACTTTCCTTAGCAGCTTCATGGCAGCTATCTTTGGCCATTACTCCCATGGTCATTTAAAACACTCTCTTTTGCATCAAGAATAGATGACTGGGAGACAAATGCCAAGTCAATAGCTATGTTTGCATCACTAGGCCTCATTGCCATTCTTGTCCACCTTCCATCATTTATGCAGACCACATCAGTGTGTTGTGAAGTATCTAGGGAGTGAATGATTAAATATTTCACCCACATATATACTGTTCAAAAAACAAAAACAAAAGAAACGCATAGTTATCCGGTAGCGCATTTTTAGTAGTTTGTAAATAAAATATTGTATTCGGATTTGTGAAAAGCAGGCTCAAATGTTGTTTACCGTGTCCAGTGGGTGTGAATTGTGTGGGTTTTGTAATCGTTACAACACAGTGGTTAGTTGTGTTGAAGACCATATTTGTGAGCATAGTACATGATGCGCGCACGAGAAAGCAACACAATTTGTGGTGAACACTATTCACTGCCTACACAATTGAAACCCTATAAAAGGATAACGCTACACCAAAACGACCAGTTCATTTTCGAGCAGTCACGAATGGCGCCTCTATTGATAAATTTAAGGAATATTGCTATTGGCCGATTGCAGGCAAGAGAAAGTCAAAGTCAGGTTGCATGGCATTTAAATGTGCATCAGAGTACAATCAGTCGACTTTGGCACCAGTTCCAAGCCACTGGTTTAGTTGAAGACCGACGTCGCAGTGGACGACCATGAAGTGACAACAGCAGCGGAGAATCGCTTTTTTCGACTTTGTAAGCTTAGAGACAGGTTTACAACAGCTTCCTCAACTGCACAGGCATTGCCCCCAGGACGTCATGTGTCTGATCAAACTGTTTAGAACATACTGCATGATGTTGAACTTTGGGCTCGACGACCACACTGAGGACCTGTCCTTACACGTCGCCACCGCCAAAAAACTTGTTTTGGCCAACCATCATCCCTGGGCAAGTAACAATCAGAGGAGACGTGTCTGGTTCAGTTATGAATAATTATTTTTGTTGCAGCCGTCATAATAGACGGCGTAGGGTCTACCATAGACGAAATAAAGGTTTAGCCCAATATTGTGTTGACGAAGCTCTGCTGCACGGTGGTGGGGTGTAATGGTATGGGGAATGATCAGTTACAATGGAAAGTGCATACTGAAGGAAGTTTAAATGCGCAACGATACGTATATGAAATTCTTCAACCACATGTCCTTCCATTTTCGGATGCCAAAAGATATCTTTTGACCATGCAATTCCTGACTGCCAATAACACTAAAACCCTTTCCTGGCTATCCCTGCCTGCAAACATGACTGATTGACAAAGACGTGTTTGTCGCCTAAAATTGGTCCAGCCAATGGTCGTGATCTGTTCCAGGCACTACAGGAAGAGTGGGCAGCCATCCCACAGGACCAAATCAGACATCTGATCACATCCATGCCCAGGAGATGCCAATCACGGATCTATGCAAGAGGAGGCCACACACTATACTAATGTAAAAGGCCTACGCTCAAAAACTAACAGAACCCAGATGCCAAAAAAGGTGTCAATTGATTGGTGGAACCCTAAGGTATTCTTGTGTGAAATTTGAGTCATTTCACTTGCTGCATTACAAAGATGCAGAATGTCAAAATTGTGAGTATGTTTGTTCCTTTCGGTAACTATGCGTTTCTTTTTTTGAACAGTATATATATATATATTGCTCGTGTATTATAGCTGGGTCACTTGTAAAATTGCTGCAACTTGCCCTGCTTCTACTGTCTAGGACAGATAACACAAACGCCGCTCAGCTTCCTTGTACATGTTGTCAGTTTATTCTGGTGCATTTATTCAATATGCTCCAACAATTATTTACACTTCCATCGCTTCTGACATATTATAACACTGGTCATTCACACGACATTAGAACTACCTCTTCTATTAACACAACCGTCTTTTACGACTTGTGGTAAGCAACTGACCACGAGTCTAGCTCGGGTTTTCCCTTGCATACTCGACCAGCCCCAGGTATCTTGTGCGCTTGTTTGTCGCACCGACTTTCTGCTTGCCACACTGTACGTGTGCAGACCATGCAAAGCAACTCATCATAATATGTACAATACTTCTATTTTATCTAAACATATTTACAACATTCCCATATTTACCTAAATATATTTACAACATTCCCATATTTATCTAAACATATTTACAACATTCCCATATTTATCTAAACATATTTACAACATTCCCATATTTATCTAAACATATTTATACCTCCATATTTGTCTAAAATATTTACAATATTCCCATATTTTTCCAAACATACTTACAATTTTCTTCCATATTTATTGAAACAAGTTTTAAACATTTTCTTGTTTGTTTAAATGTGTTTATATTTCAATATCTGTCTAGATACAGTTCAAATATTCGATGCTTATAAAGGCAGATTTATAATTTTTCCAGATTTTGCTAGTCGCATTTATATTGTTATGTTTGTGAGGACATATTTATAAAACTTCTTTATTTGTACTGCAAGTACTATTCCTACATCCCACCTGTAAGTCATGGCACTTTTTCTGCAACTGCTTACATCTGGTTTTTTCAGCCTCCTTCTCGGCAGTCAAATCCCGGATCTTCTTGCTGAGTTCAATAATTTTGGTAGCTGCTAATTCATTAGTCAGCCCTCCGTCTGTTAAAACATGGGAAAATGTGTGAGTAAAGCTAGGGCATTAGATGTTTCATTCATTACAAAAGAATCAATGTGACAGGATGAACAACTTTGACATTACTTCAAACTTATTTGCCAAATTATGATTTTAAACAGCTGCAGACACCATGCAATAAATAGGAAAGGCCAATATCAACATCACAGTAAATGAGAAGACATTGGAAATAGTGACCAGCTTCTGATAACATCATCTGGTCCAACAACGTAAAAGAAATATTAACATCTACAAATCCAACAACATAAAACAGACGTTATCATCTACAGTTCTAACAATATGAAAAAACATTAACATCAACAATTCCAACAATATGTAACAAACATAAACATCAATAATTCTAACAACATGAACTAAACATTAATATCTACAATTCCAAAAACTTGAAACAAACATTACCATATACAATTCCCACAATGTGAAACAAACATCGACAATTCCAACAAAATGAAACAAATATTAACATCAACAATTCTAACAACATGAACTAAACATTAATATCTATGTTTCCAAAAACATGAAACAAACATTATCATCTTCAATTCCCACAATGTCAAAAAAAAAAACACATCAACCATTCCAACAAAATGAAACTAATATTAACATCAACAATTATAACAGCACAAAACTAACATTAACATCCACAATTTCAGCAACATAAAACAAACATTAACATCTACCATCTCAAGAACATCAACAAACATTAACATCTACAGACATAGGAAAATAAACATTAACATCTACAGACATAAGAAAATAAACATTAACATCTACAGACATAAGAGAATAAACATTAACATCTACAGTCACAACAACATGAAACATACATTAACATCAACAATTCAAACAACAATAATCAAACATTAACATCTAAAACTCCAACAAAAAGAAAGAAACATTAACACCCACAATTCCAACAATATGAAACAAACATTAGCATTTACAATTCCAACAATATGAAACAAACATTAGCATTTACAATTCCAACAATATGAAACAAACATTAGCATTTACAATTCCAACAATATGAAACAAACATTAGCATTTACAATTCCAACAATATGAAACAAACATTAGCATTTACAATTCCAACAATATGAAACAAACATTAGCATTTACAATTCCAACCAAAAGAATGTTGAATTAGGAATCAATGTCAAAACACTTGGGACACTCTCATAAGTGCTCAGTCCCCATCTTCAGCAGCAAGCGAAGAGTTCCAATTCTGATGGTACCAGTAACTTTCTGACTGTGCATCCGTCTCATCCCCTAAGTGTTGATTCCACTGGCCCATGTCAAGAACGACATGTTTCACCCCATTCTTCACCAGCAGACACTGCCCATACCTCCCCTGTCTGGTAGGATTTATATAACTAATGTATCCAGGACACTCATATCTATATATGTTTAATTCCTACAGCATGATGATATCAGAGTCATAAATCAGTCTCTCCAGTACAGGTCCTCTCTGCTTGGCAGAGTAACCCACTCTAAAATGCTTTAATCCCAGATGCTCCGTTTTTTGCCGGACTGTCCGCTCTCCGATTTATATGCCATCTTCTCTCTACATTTTCTCATCTTCTCCTCTTCCCACTCTCTCCATTGCCATCTGAAGATGGTATCAAGCACAGAGCACGCACTCCGGAGCTCCGGTGAGGATTTTATTCATTATTAAGTACAAAATCCATAGAAGGTATTCTTTCAATGCAGGAAGTAAACAGTCACGGAAGAGGCAGGGGATGTCCTAAAGGAGTCCATACGCCTGGGGCCGCCACACCCGCTAACCAGACGTTCCACGTTCACGAATGTATAACCTCCAGTCACTTAGCAAATAGGCACGTAGGTACACCGTAGGCATAGGTTTTTTAAAATCGAGGTTTCCTCCTCTAGATCTGTTGTGTTTTGTGCCTCTTCGGTCATGCACAACGGTCTTGACTGCAGAAGGGATTTCCTGATCAAGGGATAAATAAAGCTCTCAAGGCAGAACAACTGGTGTGCTCCACTGCGCGATAGATTGGATATCTACAGCCCTGCATCTCTCTGATCCTTGTGTATTCCGGTGCACAATAATTTGGCCATATTCGCTTAAAGTTCATCCATGTTGCTAAGGGCACTAAGGACTGTGACGTATCACAGGTTGCAAAAAATCAAACAATTAATAATTACACAGTATCTAACACAAATATTAACTTCCCTGCGGCATACAGCGAACCAAAAGAAACAAACATAAACATTAACAATTCCAAAAACACTAAACAAACATTACTAACTAACCATCCAAAAATTTAACTATCCAAACAACCAACCAAACAACCATCTACCTAACCAACTATCTAACCAATCAAAAGCTCTATATGAAAATCTATTATTTCCAGTTTGTCCCATTATCTTTATATTTCACATTTTTTTTTTTTTGTTATTTATACTGATTCCAGTTTGTTTAGTCCAGTGTTTCTCAAAAAAAAAAAAAAAAAATGTGTTTGCCCACCACCGTTCTTCCTATAAAAAAAAAATCAACCCCCCCCCCCCACCCCCCATGAAATCATCATGTACCACATCGGAAAGCATAGGCATATACAATTCACCATTATACATGATCAGCAGAGTCACAGATCAGGTCAGTTATAATACAACATTATCTGTACATGAAGTGATAATACAACATTATCTGTACATGAAGTGATAATACAACATTAGCTGTACATGAAGTGTTAATACAACATTAGCTGTACATGAAGTGATAATACAACATAAGCTGTACATGAAGTGATAATACAACATTATCTGTACATGAAGTGATAATACAACATTAGCTGTACATGAAGTGATAATACAACATTAGCTGTACATGAAGTGATAATACAACATAGCTGTACATGAAGTGATAATACAACATAAGCTGTACATGAAGTTATAATACAAAATTATCTATCACATGACGCCATTACACAACATTGCACATGAAGTTATAATACAACATTATCTATACATGGACCATTAATAGGTTGTTGCTTGTATTGTTTGAAATTCTTTCAGCAGGCAACAGCTGATCATACTTTGTTTATAGATTTAACAACAAAAGAAAATGAATCTTATACATGTTTGTAGACCTAACAACAACAGAATATAAATTCATGCACGTTTGTAGACTAAACAACAAGAGTATATAAATCTCATGCAAGTTTATAGATTTAACAATGAGAGAATATACATATCATGCATGTTTATAGATTTAACATCAAGAAAATATACATCTCATGCATGTTTAAAGAAACTAAAGGTCAGTCCCCAGTGAGTAAGGTGTTGTCTCGCCACAATCCATTTGCCTTGTTGGGTGCACAAGGCTTAGGGGACAACCCAACAGATGGATGGTAACCCTTGTACCCATACAAAGATTTTAGTTTTTGGGTTATAGATTGAATGTTGAATATTGAATTAAGAATTGACATCACAGCACTCGGGACATTTCCATAAGCGCTCTATCCCCATCTTCAGCAGCAAACAAAGAGTTCCAATTTCGATGGCACCAGTAACTGTCTGACTGTATATCCTTCTCACCTTTCCCCTGAGTGTTGAGCATCGGTCAGATCCCCTGGCAATTTCTCGCAGCGCTATTCTCAGACCGTAATGATCTATTTGTGCTTCCGCACTGTTCACTCACTCCCAGAGGGCTTATAGATTGAACAACAAGATAATATAAACCTCACTGGAGTATTTTGTATGTTGGTAGATTTAACAATAATAGAATATAAATTTCATGTGAGTATTCTGCATATTTGTAGATTTAACAACAACACAGTAAAAATCTCATGACAGCACTCTGTAGGTTACAAGTAAACAAACATACCGACACAAATATTCCTGTTTTCGTCTATTTTCTTCTTTATCTGCCGAACTTCAAAGTCCTTCTCAAGCAACAACTTGCACAAACGACCATTCTCGTCCTTCAGTTGCTACATGACAGATAAAACAGATATCACAATCTATACAGAAGGCTGGTGCATACTCTGATAAAGAGTGGTGTACTGTCCAATTAAGAGTGGTGTATTGTCTAATAAAAAATGGTGTATTGTCTAGTAAAGACTGGTGCATTGTACACTAAAGACTGATGCATTGTACACTAAAGACTGATGCATTGTACACTAAAGACTGATGCATTGTACACTAAAGACTGGTGCATTGTACACTAAAGACTGGTGCATTGTACACTAAAGACTGATGCATTGTACACTAAAGACTGATGCATTGTACACTAAAGACTGATGCATTGTACACTAAAGACTGATGCATTGTACACTAAAGACTGATGCATTGTACACTAAAGACTGATGCATTGTACACTAAAGACTGATGCTAAACAGGAACAATCAACATTTATCTAGCCAGTACAAAACAGGTATGGCGTGATCCTGACCACATCACCCATCTTGTGCCGATTGGTCTTTAAAAATATAGGTCTAGCCCTACATGCCTAAAAGGGTCGTTGACTTTACTTTTTTTTTTTTTACTTATACAGGTATAATCAATATGTATCTAATCGACAGAGAGCAGGAGCAAAAAACATGTATCTAACCAGTACAGAACAGGAACAATCAACATGTACCTAAGAAGTACAACATGTATCTAGGCAGCAAAGAACAAGAACAAACCAGCAGAGAGCAGGATTACACTAGCACAGAACAAAAACAATCAGCATATGACTAACCAGTATAGAACCGAAGAAGTCAACATCTAATGGCAAGCTGAATACTACTAAATTATTCTTGAGTGTAGTGATGTGAATTTTTCATCATACTCATTAAATGTTTTTTTTTTGGGCGGGGGGAGGGGGGGGGGCATAATTTTTATAATAATTTTTACATGACTGGAAGTAGTTATCTGAATGTATAAACACATCAGATTGATTTCATTGTCTGCTGGTCACTCACCCTGATCTGATCACTGAGATGATCCTGGGAAATGTAACTGCCATCATCTGGAGAATCTCTTGTCTGAAATAAATTACCAGTATTAATGATCTTGTAAATGTTTTCATAAATTAGAGAAAAACTTTCACAAACTAGTCAGTCAGTCAGTCAGTCAGTCAGTCAGTCAGTCAGTCAGACAATCAGTCAGTCAGTCAGTAGCACGTCCTTTGCAGAACACTGCTCCCATAACAACCCTGCGGAAAACTTCTGATACACCCACCTGGAGATCATCTGCCATCTGCTTGTCACAGATGTTTAGACAATCTTCTAAATATTCAGACCATCTGTGGATTTGATCTTTAATATTGGTGAGAATTTGCCCATAAATAATTGTGAGTGATTCACTTGGTAAGCTGTGTTTCCCCACTAATTTCCTTGTGGTGCTGTAAAGTCTGGGATCTCTAAATGTAATTTCAAATAGGCTTGTGTGCCCAATATGTGACCCAATACAAATTAAGTTTGTTTGCTTGTTTCATGAAATCTCCTATGAAAATTTAAGTTTACAGAATCAGTAATTTATGCAAGTGTTTACAAGATCTGTAATGTACGAAAGTGTTTACAAGATCTATAATTTGTTGTGAAAGTGTTTACAAGATCTATAATTTGTTGTGAAAGTGTTTACAAGATCTATAATTTGTTGTGAAAGTGTTTACAAGATCTATAATTTGTTGTGAAAGTGTTTACAAGATCTATAATTTGTTGTGAAAGTGTTTACAAGATCTATAATTTGTTGTGAAAGTGTTTACAAGATCTATAATTTGTTGTGAAAGTGTTTACAAGATCTCTGATACTTGAAAGTATTTAGAAGGTCTATAATGTATGAAAATTTACATTATCTATAATTCATTGTGAAAGTGTTTACATGATGAATAATGTATGATAGTGTTTTTTTAGATCTATAATGGGTAAAAGTCTTTTCAAAACCTGTAATATATGAATAGGGTTACTTAGTCAATAATGTATGAATGGGTTTACTTCTTCTTTTGTCGTCTCACTAATACCATGTTGAAGCCCAGTGTTGCGGTTTTCTGTATTTGTCTGGCACTTCTTGGTTGACTTGGCTGATGAATTTATTATTCTTTTTGCAGGTTTCAGCTACACCATTGATCCATCTCTTTGTTGTTTTTCCTCTTGCCCTTGCTTCCAGATGTTCTGCTGTAAAGTGTCTCATATGCCGTTTGGTCTGGCTACATTCTTACTAGACGGCTGAACCACTTCATTCTTTGTCTGTCAATATAATCCAGACATGGTCTTATTCCAACTTTTTCTTTAATGCTGGTATTCCTAACCCTGTTTCTTCTTGTGTTGTTAGTGACCTTGCGGAGACAACACATTTCACATGCAGCTTTTTTCTGTTCTACTGCCCTATTTAGTGTCCATGTTTTGCACTGATAACATAAATTAGGGAGAAAGATGCTATTAATCATTTGCTGCTATTGGGTGTCTAATCATTTGGGCTGGCAGGTTGACAGCATTTGCTGGGTGTTCTAAGCTAACTGGGGTGACTAATTTGCCTGGTAGTGGATTCCTATCTCTATGGTATGGTGACAGCATTTGCCTTCTGTACCCTGGCTTCTATCTCTAACTGGTAGGTGACAGCATTTGCATTGTACTCTGCCTTCTGTACCCTTTGCCTTCTGTATCTGGCTTCTATCTATAACTGGTAGGTGACAGCCATGCTTTCTTAACTCTGGCTTCTATCTCTAACTGGTAGGTACAGCATTTGCCTTCTGTACTCTGGCTTCTATCTCTAACTAGGTGACAGCATTTGATTCTGTTTGGCTTCTATCTCTATGGTAGGTGACAGCATTTGCCTTCTGTACTCTGGCTTCATCTTTCTAACTGGTAGGTGACAGCATTTGCCTCTGTACTCTGGATTCTATCTCTAAGTATGACAGCATTGGTTTACTCTGGCTTCCATCTCTAACTGGTAGGTGACAAGTTTGCCTTCTGTACTCAAGATTTACCTCTAACTGGTAGGTAGAGTGGCCTTTCTGTACTCTGGCTTCTATCTCTAACTGGTAGGTGACATGTGCTCTGTACTCTGTTCTATGAACTGGGTAAGTTCTTTATCTGGCATCTCTAAGTATTAGGGTAATTTTGTTCTGTAAAGGTGTTTACAGCATTTGATCTGGCTTCTATAATGGTACGTGACAGTGTTTAAGTAATCTGGCTTTCTATTGGTAGGTGACAGCATGGCCTTCTGTACTCTGGCTTCTATCTCTAACTGGTAGGTGACGCATTTGCCTTCTGTACTCTGGCTTCTATCTATAACTGGTAGGTGACAGCATTTGCCTTCTGTACTCGGCTTCTATCTCTAACTGGTAGGTGACAGCTTTGCGACTTTTAAAAACAGCAATGACTTCTGTACTCTGGCTAGGTAGGTGACAGCATTAGCCTTCTGTACTCTGGCCTACCTCTAACTGGTAGTTGACAGCATTTGCCTTCTGTACTCTGGCTTCTATCTCTAAAGGTAAGTGACAGCATTTGCCTTCTGTACTCTGGCTTCTATCTCTAACTGGTAGGTGACAGCATTTGCCTTCTGTTTGACATCACTTGCATCTGGCTTCTATCTCTAACTGGTAGGTGACAGCATTTGCCTTCTGTACTCTGGCTTCTATCTCTAACTGGTAGGTGACAGCATTTGCCTTCTGTACTCTGGCTTCTATCTCTAACTGGTAGGTGACAGCATTTGCCTTCTGTACTCTGGCTTCTATCTCTAACTGGTAGGTGACAGCATTTGCCTTCTGTACCCTGGCTTCTATCTCTCTATCGAGGCTGCCATCTTCCGTAAATATGCTTCCTAGATATTTGAATTCTCCTACTTGTTTGATTGTTTTACCATTAACCTGAACGTTCAGTGGGTTTACAAGATCTGTAAAGTATCAAAGTGTTTACTTGATCCAGAAAGTGTGAAAGTGTTTACAAGATTTCTAAGGTACTAGAGTGTGTACATGATCTGTAATGTATGAAAGTATTCATAAGATTTGTAATGTATGAAAGTGTTTACAAGATCTATAATGTACGAAAGTGTTTAAGTAATCTATATTGTGTGAACCATGGCGGAGCTGCTAGATGCTCGTTGCGTAACGGAAGGTCGTGGGTTCGCTCCCTGGCGAAGCTCGACTTTTAAAAAAATGACCTTAGCTCTTAGGTTGACCCAGCCTTGAGTGGGTACCGGGTGCAGTCACAGGAAGTAGAGGCGGCCGGCGTGATGTTGACCACATCACTCATCTTGTGCCGATTGGTCTATAAAAATATAGGTCTAGCCCTATATGCCTATACGCCTAAAGGGGTGGAAAAGGGTCCTTTACTTTGTTTTTTTAATATTGTGTGAAAGTGTTTACATTATCTATATTTTATTAAAGTGTTTACCTGATCTGTAATAAACAAGAGTGTTTACAAGATCTCTAATGTATGAAAGTGTTTACCACATCTGCAATCTGTGAAAGTGTTTACAGGATCTCTAATTTAGGAAAATATCTTCAAGATCTAATATGTATATGAGTGTTTACATGATCTAAAGTGTATGAAAGTGTTACATGATCTCTAATGTATGAAAGTGTTTATATGATCTATAATGTTTGCAAGTGTTTACAAGATCTGTGATGCATGAAAAGTGTTTAAAATATCTGTTATGTATGAAAGTTTTTACATGATCTATAATGCGTGAAGGTGTTTACATGAGCTATAATGTTTGAAAGGATTTATAAGATCTGTAATTATGAAAGTTTAATTACTTCAGTTATAAATGATTCACTTATTTGCTTCATGCGTGTAATTGATAATGTAGTATGCACCTGACAAGATACAGTGAAATATGCCAGGAAATAAATCGTGCAATCTGTTGTTTGTGTCTTCTTTGTTCAAATTATGAAAGTGTTTAAAAGATCTATAATGTTTTGAAATTTTTACATGATCTGTAGTGTATGAAAGTGTTAACATAATCGATTATATATGACAATTCTGTACAAAAACTATTACCAATGTAATAAGATGTGAAAGGGATGAATTAGAAGAACAACAATGAAAGCAAAAGAACAACAAAAATACTCAAAATTTTTGTATCTGCATTTGTGTCAGTTACTTCTCAAATTTAAATTGGTTTTATACATTTACCTTTAGACAAAGGTCATCGGTTACACCAAAGGTACTGAGATTTGTTTCCTTATTTTCTGTCTTCTTTTCAACATGCTTGTTCATTTCTTCCTTTTTCTGACGTCTTTCCAACAGCTTCTGTTGCTGTTGGGCTTGTAAAATATGAAACTGTTCTCTGTGACCTTCCCCATTCATCACAAATCTGACAAATACATTCACAAATAAAGAGACTTATAGTTTGGCTTCCTGTACTATATTTCACAAAACCAGTTTTCAAACTGGAAACATAAACAGTGGTAACTCGACTTACAAAGCACGATTACACATAAACTTTCTGAGATACAAATAAAACTATATTTGTGATGCGCTGCGCAAAAGCACATGTTGTTTTGTTACTATGTCATATTTATCTGGAATAGGATGCAACAAGTGGTGTGTGTGTGTGCGCGCGCATAGGTGTGTCTGATTCATGCTGCAGTTATTTATCTGCTTTTTTGTGGTGTGTGTGTGTGTGTGTGTCTGATGCATGCTGCAGTTATATATCTGCTTTTTTTTGGTGTGTGTGTGTGTGCGCGTAGGTGTGTGTGTGCATCACGTGTGCATGCCTGCGTGTGTGTATATTCTGTTATCTGTGTCATCAAACAGTACAATTAGTTTATATACTTGCAAAGGGCATTATGGGTAAACATTTAAAATTATGATTTAGGCATGACATTTCATTTACAAAATACTGCCATAGAAGACTAAGAAAGAAGAGAAGAAGAAAAACACAACAGAAATTAAGAAAGAGACTGGAAAATATGAGATCAGAGTCAGGCAAACTGATTTGTATAACTTGTCAAAGTCCACCACAGCTATAATCCTCAAGAAAGCAGATTTGTATAACTTGTCAAAGTCCACCATAGCTATAATCCTCAAGAAAGCAGATTTGTATAACTTGTCAAAGTCCACCACAGCTATAATCCTCAAGAAAGCAGATTTGTATAACTTGTCAAAGTCCACCACAGCTATAATCCTCAAGAAAGCAGATTTGTATAACTTGTCAAAGTCCACCACAGCTATAATCCTCAAGAAAGCAGATTTGTATAACTTGTCAAAGTCCACCACAGCTATAATCCTCAAGAAAGCAGATTTGTATAACTTGTCAAAGTCCACCACAGTTATAATCCTCAAGAAAGCAGATTTGTATAACTTGTCAAAGTCCACCACAGCTATAATCCTCAAGAAAGCAGATTTGTATATGGAACAGAATCTTCATATTATGCCTTAATAATATTTATCATTTTCATTGCTATACCATAGCATTCCAAAGTCCCCTATATGATATTCTGTGTAAATTATCAAAAGCCTTCTTAAAGTGGATGGCCAACACCTCACCAGGTCCCGACAGCATCCAATATGCTGATATGCTGAAGATGACAGAGGACAATATGTCAGAACTGGCAGGAGAGTTTAACGTCAGCATAAGAAGGAAGTGGTCAAATCAGAGAGGAGTGGATACACAACTACCTACTACCTTTGCCAAAACCAAATAAAGACCATTCCAAGATCAGTGGCTACAGAATCATTACAATGCAGAACACTACGGGCAAGCTTCTGGAGAAAATTGTAGCACATAGACTCGCTGATGACTTGGAAAAGCTTGTCAGGTTACCATCCACACTTGGGGGATAGAGATGAAACAAAGAGACATGGCTCAATACAGCAGTCTTTGCCTGTGAAGTCTATGAAGGTTTTCAGATGAGAGAAGAGACGTGCACTACACTAGACCTAGAGGATGTGTACAACAGAGTACCATTTGAATACTTGGTGCACATACTTCTCCAACTGCAAGTATCTCCCTTCATCACCCGCTGGGTAGCCGCAGCACTGTTTAAGAGGCGGGTGACACTCAGGTGTGGTTGTTGGTCCTCAGAACCAATAACCATCAGTCCAGGATTGCCTCAAGGTTCTTCCCTGTCTCCAGTTCTATTCAACGTGTACACAGTGCTGATAACTGAGCAGCAGTTGCACGAAGTGGCAGGACCTTGTCATTTGCTGATGACGTCTTGGTATATCGACATGGAAGAGATGGTCAAGAGAGTGCCAATTAAATGCAGAGTGAACTTGATCGCATCTCCCCCTGGTGTGTAGATTCTAATGCTCGTGTCAACCCTTCAAAGGCCTCAGTAACACGCATATAGTGAAGGCAGTCCTACCAGCAATGGAAAGCAGCAAGGAAATTTTGACGAGAACAAATCTGATGACATACTTCGGAGTGAGGTTTGGTTGCAGCCTGTCCTTTAAAGAACATGTTGACCATACAAAACCACGCAAAGGCCTGTCAGCAATGAGGGTCCTGGCCGCCGCTAACACTGAGCAGAAACTGCTTCTGCTTCTGTTCCAGAGACTTGTAATTTCTCCCATAGAATATGCTCAAGCCATCCTTACTATCAGCTATACTCAGACTGAAAGACTTGATAAGGTGCAAAACGAAGCAATGCGCATTATTCTCAGATGCACCTGAGATACCCATTGTGTAGCAATAAGGTACCTTCTTTACTTCTCTACCATGAACTACAGGATCAAAATCTGGAGGGCTCGTGCATACCTCAGATCTGAAGCGCAATAGGCTTAAAGGGGCAAATTATGGCTGGGTAGGACAGAGGATGACATCATGCAGGTTTGCAGCCTTACAGACATCCAACCAGGGGAGGAATGGATACCAGCGTCTAGAGCGCCCAATCTCACATTCTCCTGTATCGTGACGCTCGATAGGAGTTGTCGGGAGCAGAATCCAGCTGCTGTCAATGCCGAGGTATGCGCATTTATCAAGTCAGGTGAGACAGATGTGGTGATCTTCACAGAAGGGTCCGTTATACGAGAACATAAGTGTGCATGGGCATTTACAGCTCACTCTTCAGACAGAATAGTTCAAGAAGCCAGCAGTGCCTTCTCCATGACTACCAGCAGCATGACGATGGAGGTGATGGTGGTGACACAAGCTTTCAGGTGACAAGAATCACAGGACTACTTATGCGTGTGTGTGCTGAGTTATTCTTTGAGCACGATCCAGCGGGTTCAGGCAGTCTGGTTACGCAGACAGTGGTTTGAGTCATTGTAAAATTCTCCTGTGTGTGCAGTAACCTTCATATGCGTCCCAGGGTATGCAGGCGCTGTTGGTAATAAAAGAGCTGATAGATTGGCAGGTGTTGCATTAATTGAAGATGGCCGGCCCATGGATCACATAGACATTGTCACTGCCCTTAGTGAGAAAGGACGTTCTAAGGATTTTTGAAGCAGCATGTCCACATCACTTCTAAGAATATGCAGGCGCTGTTGGTAATAAAAGAGCTGATAGACTGGCAGGTGTTGCATTAATTAAAGATGGCCGGCCGATGGATCACACAGACATTGTCACTGCCCTTAGTGAGAAAGGACGTTCTGAGGATTTTTGAGGCAACACGTCCACATCACTTCTAAGAATACGAGAATTGGGAGTTAAGGTCGGCACAGCCAAGCATGAGAAGCACACAAAGTCTTGTTAACCAACATAGGACTGGCACTATTAACCGCGCGACGTTGATGAATATTTTGAGAGGGGAATCTGAGTGACTAAGGATGTGTCCGGAGTGCTGTGAAGATAATCTAACTCATAACTTAAAAGTGGATGACATTCAAAATAAGGGGTTGTTGTTTTTCAACAAATTCCTCTAATTCAAGTCTCAGGGTGAATATTTGATCCAAGCAGCTTCTTCAGGCAGAAAAAACTGCTTGCTCCTTCCTCCGGATTGTGTCCAGTACCTTTCAATTTTATTGAGAATTATTTTACAAAAAGTCTTTTGACATTATTGACAACAGAGTAATTCCTTTACGGTTGTTATAGTCAGTAAGATTACCTTACTCTGGAACTTTAACAATTTTTTTTTCTTCCACAGAGCTGGAATTTTTTCCTCTGCCCATATTCTATCAAACAAATCTTTCACTCGGTTTATGATAACATCATCCGCTGCCTTTAGCATTTCTGCTGATTTATCATCACCTGCTGCCTTATTGTTTGCTACTGAGTTAACTCTTCCCTGATTTCCATGTCATTTATATGTCCTACATTTATTGGTAATATGTTCATTTTAGCCTCTTCATCACAATTCACTGGTTCTTGTAAACTCAGTCCATTTAAGGAAGTGTTCTGTCCATCTTTTCTTTCGCTCAGTATCTATGGTAAGCATTGTCCCATCCTTACTTACTTTTAATGGGAGACCCATACAACAATCAGCATCAACTAAATAAAATGACAAATATATCTTACAACCCAAACTAGAACCAACCACATCAAGAAACATCAAAATCTTATGACATAACTGAATAAAATTGGGAAATCTTACAACACAACTAAATGAAAGTTAGTTCTAACTGCAAGAAGCTCTACACTTAAGCACTCTTTGAGCATTGTTTTCAGGTGACTAAAGGGACCAACCTCACTCTCAAAGAGTTTTGGAAAAATCACCACATCTTTGCCAGGCTCAAGATGATCGACAAATAGAACCCTAACTTCTGCTTGAAAGAAGCTTTGGTCGGAGAGATTTGTCAATTTGTGACTTTGAGGGGTTCGAGACAGTACCTGTGGAACCTGTAGTCAACGAGATTGTGTCTTTGGCTACTGTCATGGAATTGGATGTGGATAACAGTGATATTGAAGAGCTTGTGGAAAAGCACAGCCAAGAGCTGACCACTGAAGAGCTTATGGAGTTGCATTATGTTTCACAGCAAGAAGTTTTGGAGGAAAGTTTGTCAGAGGAGGAGAAGGAGGTAACAGAAAAGCAACAATCTTCTGACGAAATAAGAGAAATGCTGAAAGCATGGCAAACTGTTACATCTTACATTGAGAAGCATCACCTTTATAAGGAAGTGGCTTTGTGCGTTGCAAATTTATTTAATGATATTGCTGTGTCAAATTTTCGCCAAATTTCTAAGCGTCAGCAAAAACAAATCTCTCTGGACATCTTTCTATTTTAAAAAAATAATTAGCTATGTATCATAATTACTTTTAATGACTTTTTTTTTCTGCAAATCGAATTTGCATTCCAGGTAAGTTCGTTCCACATTTGAAAAAAAAAAAACGATGAAGATGATTCACTCTCCTTAATAATATGTATATAATTTTCTTTGAATAAAGGTTATACATAGTATTTCTTTCTACATGGAACGCATTATCG